AAAAAAAAAAAAAAAGAATTGAAAATCACATTTCTAGATGCTTCTTCCTTGGCCTGGTGAACATAGGAATCAAACGTGAACCAAAATGTTCCTTCAAGTTTGCAAATAGAATACCAGGAAGAACTAGGAACATTTGGAAAATACCTGTGCTCTTGAATGGATGTAGCTATGATCATGTATTCTTTATCTTCTTTGTAGCTCTTCTATCCTGGCTTTCAGGGTTCCAGTCATGGTTGCCTTGATCTACTTCTCTACCCACTCTCCCCCTTTAATATTTATTTCTTTAGCAATTCAATGGGGGTAGTAAGAAGAAGAATCCATTTTTTAACATATTTGAATAAAGTGAAAGATCATAGTTGTTCATGGCTTAAAAAATCACTAAAACTATTATTGAGTGATTATTTTGTGACACTTTTACCTAGAGAGGTTATTTTGGAAGAAGATGGTTCTGTATTTGTTTCTTGATGGGAAAGAAAAAGCCTAGAATAGGTTATTATATAACACCTAGGAAGGGTTATAGGAAATATGATAAAACCAGCAGTAGATGGCCTAGAAAACAGTTTTAAGGATATGTACAAAGAAAGACAAGGTCTAAGTGGAACTTAACTTCTGGAGTGTCCATAGAGTACTGAAGAGAGAAATAGATAATTGCTTAAGTGATATAATTTTGGGTGATATATTTGGTTCTGCAAGACATAGGTCAGCTGGAGAAGAGAGCATTTGCCCGTGTTTGGTACATGTTTGTGGTGTGATTGGTGAAGGTCAACTTGGGAATGTCAGAAAGCTAGTTTGGTGACACAGTAAAGATTGAAATCCATACTTCCCTGTCCTTTTTTTTTTTTTTTTTCCTATGGGGAGCAGGGATTTGTTCACAGGATAATGTGCTTAGATGATTGCCTTCTAAAGCAGGAGGATATGCTGTGAATTTCTGAGTTTCCTAGAGAGCTTTTAGTTGAGGGAGAATCTTATTTGAGAAGGACTAAATGATTTTTTTTCTTTGTTTTGTCCTTGTGTATACTTCGTTAATAATATGACCTGAGCATGTCCAAATGATCACTGCTTTCTCCATCCCTCCGAATTCTTTTTTATTCCTTTGAATCTTTCTTGCTTTATCCACATGCTTAGCCAAAACCTTGGTAAAAACCTTGGGTGCTGAGTCTCTAATGAGGCTTTCTGGTAGACAGCTTTTCACGTGTGTTGTCACAGGGAGTTGCTGAAGGATTTAAGTGGGTCCTGTATGACTCCACTGAAAAGGATTCTTGGAAGTTTGCACCTGGTTTCCTCCAAACTTTGCTCCATGTACCTATTACCTCTGCTGATTATGATTTCTGTCCTTTTGCTGTAATGAACACAACTGTATGCCAAGTCCTGTGAATCTTCCTAGTGAACTTTAAGCCTGGGCACGATCTTGGGGACCTATAGCACAGTTTGAAAGAGAATATTCTATGTTAACATTGAAAATAATTCTTTAAAGAGGATCTATCCCAACTCTTGTAGTATAGGTGAAGAAACTGAGGCTCAAGGATATAAAGTCACTTTCTCAAAGACTACTTTCTCAAAGACTGCTTTCACAAAGACTAACCTTTAAAGTTACTTTCTACAAAGACTGTAGATAGTCCTGGTCTAGGCCTAGATAGACCAGGATTATCCCACATTGTATCTCAAATGTATTTGTGCCATTTTGCTTTTTTTTGCATCTATTTTTATATCCTGTTAGAGAAATACTTTTATTTTTCCTAAATAATAAATTCTTGTATATATCTGTGTTTTGTCTATCAGATCATAATCCTAACTAATTTTCTTTTTTTTTAAGAATTTTTATTTATTTATTTGGCAGAGAGAGAGCACAAGCAGGAGGAGTAGCAAGTAGAGGGAGAGGGAGAAGCAGGCTCCCCACTGAGCAAGGAACCAGATGTGGGGCTCGATCCCAGGGTCCTGGGATCATGACCTGAGCCGAAGGCAGTTGCTTAACCACCTGAGCCACCCAGGTGCCCCTCTAACTAATTTTCTGAGATGTATAGACCAAGTCTGTTTATTTTAGCTGTCTATTTTTTTTGGTTTTAAGAACTTTGACCTTATCTGTTAAGCTTTCAAATGAAAAGAAAATGTTCTTTTTTCCCTCAGGTGCTCTGCATCATTTTATTTGATCTTTGTCCCTTTGTTTTTTGGCTTGAAGTATAATAGCCAGGGCTGTATAAAGTATCATAAATGTAGATCTTCTGCACTTTTTTTTTGAATATTTCTTGAACCCCAGCATTTTATTGACTTTGTTAACGGCAGAAGCACATTAGTTTGCTTTACTTGGGAAAAATTCTATAAAAACCTTTTTAACCTTTAAATAATAACAGATAATTTAGCATGCTCTCTCCCTTCATGTATTTTTGACTGAAGAGGTATAAGAATTTTCAGTTTGTTCTAGAATAGAGGCTCCTAACCTTATAACTTTTCATCAGAATTTTGTATTTCCTTATCTCATGTTTAACTGGGGAGAGGGAATAGATTAGCTATTGGCATTAATCCCCTACATTCAGATCCACTGACTTGTATAACTCCACAGAGCACCTTTCACGTTGTATTCTATGTGCATGATAGCTCCTGGAATTGTGCAGTGGCCCATGTCCCAGAACAGATCAACGGGCTCTGATGTGTTAATGATTGGTTTATGGTTGAGCAGGTGTGGTTGTGAGACCTACTGGTAGTTCACAACCTACTCCTTGGTAAGCTTGTTCTGTTGGAGTATTCTTTGGAAATAAGAGGAAGAAATTTTTATAGTTTTTTTTCCCACCATCTCCCCACCCAACCCTGTTCTTCCCTTCTAGCTTCCAGCTTTTCTGAGATTCTGCCATTGTATTCTTTTTTTTTTTTTTTAAAAGTAGGCTCCTCACGCAGTGTGGAGCCCAATATGGGGTTTGAATTCACAACCCTGAGATCAAGACCTGAGATCAAGAGTCGGATGCTCAACTGACTGAGCCACCCAGGCGCCCCTCTGCCATGGTATTCTTAAATGTTTAGAATGAGCAGAGTTCATAGTCCCATGAGTCACTTAAAGTACTATAAATGTCACATACTAATGCTACAATGCTATATTTGGAGATCTTAGAGTAGAATGGTAATGCTGATATTGTTCCTTCTCTGGAATCTGCTTTGGAAATATCCGAACCAAGCCTCTTTTCCTTGTTCTGAAACAATAGTAGACCCTTAGATATCTGTAACTATTCCCAGGTTTATAAACAGTGGGCAAGTTTATTCCCTATCCACCCCATCTTACCATTTTAGATAGCCCGCTTTTTCTGACCTATAAAAAAAAGCCTGGAAGAAAGAACAGCCAGAAGATGGGGAGTAAAATCTCTATATTTTTATTTGTATTTTAAGATATCTCTCTTTTGTGACCACATTAGTCTGCTGTCTTTTCAACATAAAGGTATATATGTGAATTGAAGTAGAAAAAGTACAGTATCTATCCTTAAGATTATGATCTGATAGACAAAACATAGATACAAGAAATTATGTAACAGTAATGAAAAGTACAATAATAAAGGTATAATTTAGGTATATGGGAGCACAGGGGTGAGATGAATTGGTTTAGATTGAGTGAGTCAGTAAACTTCATGGAGGATATGCTTGATCATTTTAAAAGTCTTGAAGGATTTGTCAGTAAATGTGTAAGTGAGAGGTTAAGGAAGGTGGTTTTGAGTGGTATTGCTGATGGAAGGCATAGTATGTACAAAAGAATAGCATATATATTCACAGATAGCAAATAGCATGGATATTCTATAGGTTGCATGTGGAGGAGTGACAAGAGATGGGACTAATCTGTTAAGCCAAGAGCCTCATAGGACATACTAAAAATTTCTGGATGTTATCCTGTTGGCAGTAGGGAGTCATTAGAGGGTTTTAGGCAAGACAGTAGCACTATTAGTTTCACTTTAGATCTCTGAAGGCAGGTTGGAGAATTTGATGGAGTTAATTCTAGGGAGATTACTTCAGTAGTTTAGGTGAAAAATGGTAACTGCTTGAACTAAGGCAGTGGGTTTAGAGAGGAGGGTGCAGTGTGGAAAAACCTTTACAAAGTGGAATATTTAAGATCTAGGGAGTGATTGGATATGGAGAGGCAGAGGAAAGTTCTAATACGACTTCCAGTTTTCTGATTTTGGCAGCTACTGAGTGGGCCATGAGCTAGGGTCAGGATTGTAGGAGGAAGAACACAGCAGTGTCCAGTAGACAGCTTGATAACATGGGTCTGAAACTCAGATTGTGGTTTTCAGCATGTTAGAGGTAATGGAAGCCGTGGCCCCATGTTCGATCACTAAGAGAGTGTGTGGAGAGGGAGAAGACAAGAGCAGGAGATCCTAGGACAGAGTCTTGAGGGAAGGCCAACAGTTAAGCAGTAAGTGGAGAAGGAAGCAGGGGCCCCTTATGCTCTATAACACTGAAAGATTATCACCATTTGAGTTAACCATAGTTTTCTCTTTCAGGAATGGTAGTGCTATTGGCCTTCCGGTCCCACCTATCACAGCCTTAATCACCCCAGGTCCTGTTCGTCATTGCCAAATTCCTGATTTGCCTGTGGATGGAAGCCTGCTCTTTGAATTTCTCTTTTTCATCTACCTGCTGGTTGCTCTGTTTATTCAATACATCAATATCTATAAAACAGTGTGGTGGTATCCTTATAATCATCCTGCTTCTTGTACTTCACTGGTAAGTCTTAATAGGCCTTTAACTTCTGTATGTTACTTAACCAAGAAACTAGTTGGAAAGCCTATGTGTACAAATTACTTTTCTTCTAAAAAAATGTTTTCTGTTAAACCACAGATTACTTTCAGAACTGTAATCTCATAAGATTGTTAAAATATAAATATCTGGAAAGTTAAAATACAAATGAAAATGCAGAAAGCCTTTAAATAATTTATTATAATATCAAGAGTTTTGATGCCTAGCTTTCTTTGCACTATATTAAATTTGTTGGACTTAAGGTGCCTGTATGACTAAATTCCAGAAAACTTACCCTTTTAATGACTATCTTAGGATAATGGTTGCTTCTATAACAAATAAACCCAAAATTGTATAATGCTTCAAACGCATAATAGTCTGAGTCAGTTGTTTTGGTTTGCAGGAGTAGCACGCTTCCATGTGGTCAACAGGGAACCTAGGCTGATGGAGACTCTGCTGTCTTCCAGGACGTGGCCTCCAAGTTGGCTGTGGTCCACCTCTTTCAGCTAGAAAGGGGAAAGAGCATAGGGAAGTATAAAGGAGAGTTTGTTATAGGCCAGGCTCACATCACGTTCGCATATGTCCACTCCTAACTACAAGGAGACTGGAAACTGTAACTCTTTCATAGGATTTATTGTTACCAGGAATAAAATTGGGCTCTGTTACAAAAATAAAATTGAGACAAGGACTAGTTGTCTTTGCTGAAGTACATTAAAATATATTGTAGGTTTCTTCCACCCTCTTTCCATTTATTTGGGAGAGCAGAGATAATCTTGATGCAGAGAAGTTCTCCATAGATGGGTATGTAAAATAACGAGTAAGGCTACTCAGGTTACTTGGTAGGTAAGTGGTTGGCAATGGCAGATTTGGATTGGAGATATGCTCTAGGAGAAAGAAGATTGTTGTGCTGGGTAGTTTACGTGTGTGTTTGGGGCTTATCAATGATTAGAAAACTTACTTGGCCTGATGAACATAGGAATCAAATGTGGACCAAAATCTTCAAAATAATATGGGAAAGAAATAAACATTTAAAAAAATATATGTCACTTGGTTGTTCCTGGAATTAACTATTAAGAATTTTCTTTCCATATTGACAATGTACCTACTTGATACCAAGTAAAGAGAATTTCGGTTTCTTTATTTATGAATTGTAATGATTTGTTGCAGCTCTCTCTCTTGAGCTCACCTGCTCTCATATATCAAGACTGTACTTTTTGGTTTAACATTTTCCTGCTTGTGTTACTCAAAAAAAAAAAAATTAGAAATATGAAACCTAGAGATTATAAAACTGGCTCAAAATCACGTAGTGACAGAGTGAGTACTCTCACTCACTGCTGTGCTCTACTTCCTATTATTTATTCTGTATTTACTCCATAAGGGCTTGTTGGGTAGTTCATCGTTCAGTTTTCACTTTGACATTCCATGGAAACTTCTCAGTTGTTGAATTTTCAGGCTAATCAAAGAGCTCTTCTCTCAGTCAACCATTTCTGACAAGAGTTCTTTTAAAAGTCCCCTACAAATGTTGCTTTGCAATAAAGGGAGCCAGTGCTCCTGTCATAATCAGGAAGCTGCTGCTAGAGCTGCTGAGTCCAGAATTATGCTTCCTTTGCTCTGACTCATACCGCTAAACATGGGTGCCTTTTACCCTGCCCCTCTCCCCATTTCAGTTTGAATTCAGGTTTTATGTAATGGTTATGGTTGGCAGAAACTAAGTCAAATCTAGAACTTCAGTTGCAAGAAAGTCTGGAAATGTAGTTTTTAGTTTTTCGGTCTGTGCAATAGAGGAAGGCACACTTGAAGCAGGTTATCCTGTGGCCTGGCTCACTTATCTGCCACATATGGTCCTGGCTCACACAAACCTTAGGGTTTAATTGTGAAACTAAGAGTAACATCTGTGGAATAGCAAATAAGATTTTAGCCCATCAGTCTGAAAGGGGCCTGAATTGGTGAGCTGTTCAAAGATAAATGGGCTGCCAGAGACCTAGTTACTTCCTGTCACTGAAGGTATTCAAACATGGGAGATGGCTACGTGCCTGAGTTGCTCTAGAAGGGGCTTAGATATCAACTAGTGGTCTGTCTCTTTTAAGTTTTCTTCTTTTTTTTTTTTTTTTTAAAGATTTTATTTATTTATTTGAGAGAGAAAGAGAGAATGAGAGATAGAGAGCATGAGAGGGAAGAGGGTCAGAGGGAGAAACAGACTCCCTGCTGAGCAGGGAGCCCGACATGGGACTCGATCCCGGGACTCCAGGATCATGACCTGAGCCGAAGGCAGTTGCTTAACCAACTGAGCCACCCAGGCGCCCCTTAAGTTTTCTTCTATTTTGTGTGTCTGACTCAGAAATTTGTCAGATTTATATATTAGGTTTTTCTTTTTCCATTTCAAGATCTTAATAATTATCAAAAAGAAAATGTGGACCCCCGAATATATAAAGTATTATTGTAGCCATCAAGCAATTAGCTGAGTGAGTCTTAACCCTAAGAAACATAAAAGTTAGAAGTAGCATAGTATATTATTCAGAATAGTCAGGAGTGGAGAGTGATTAATCAAATATTCTGGTTTATAGAATTAATCATAAGTAGATTACCAGTTTTCAGTGATTTAGCATATAACAAAATTTACTTAACAATAAGATACGTTAGGCATTAAATCTTTTGATACAAAAATGTCTGAGATTGACTGGTGATACATAAATAAGACCCTCAAACATTAGGTAGGGGGTCTAGTGAATTGCTTGCATTATTTTGGAGGAGTGGGGTGAACAAGGAGTCTCAAAGCTAAGAAGGGATAAATATCACTAGAATCCAAAACAGAGAAAGAGAAAAGGAAATGATCTGAGGTAAGCACTCTCTTGACATTCTGGCTACTCTACCTTTAAAATGTATACCAAATCTGGCCACTCCATCGCCCTTGCTACTGACCCTGTTCAATCCATCTTCATTTCTTACTTGCATTAAAAGCAGTAACTTCCTAACCGATCTTGCCCTGTTACAGTATATTCTCCACACAGCAATCACTGTGATTGTTTTAAAATAGAACCTGGCACCCTTTGCATGAAACAGTTCCATGACTTCTCATTAGGAAAAAATATCTATAAACTCAATCTTTTGTTACTCATTACGTCATTCCAGCCCTCTTGCTGATTATCAGACAAACCAGACATATTTTCCTGTTTTAAGGGCCTTTGTGATCCTTTTCTCTCTGCATGGGTGTTACTTTGTTGTCATTCAGCTCTCAGCCCAAATGCCACAATCTCAGAGATGTCCTACATAACCAACAATTTAAATTGGCTCTGCAACTGCCTTTCCAGTTACTATTTATCATTGTTTTGTTTCTTACCAGCAGTTGTAACTAGCTAAAATGCTTTTGCTTGTCAGCTTTTCATTGACTTTACACTTAAATTTATTAAAGATACGGCTTTAGCTGCTGTAACAGGATGGCTAAAATAAAGTAGAACCTTAGTTCCTTATTAAATAAGAGTTAGGCAGGTGGTATACTCTTTGTTTCCATTGCTCTGCCACCCCCCACATGCTTCTTCCAAACCATGGTCCAAGATAGCTGCTCCAACTCCTGTCAGCACATCTGGCCAGCAAGAAGGAGGAAAGGAGAAAGATAGCTCCTTCCTTTAAGGGCATGTCATTTCCCCTCACATCCCTTAGCTACAAGTGGTTTTTGCAAGGGAGGCAAGGAAATGAACCTCTAGTTAGCAAGGAGTCAGTGTCCAGTTTAATTTGACTATGATGGCAGAAGAGACAACTAGTAATCCTTGCCATCCCCTTTCCCTCTCACGCTGCGGTAAAAAATAAGAGTCAAGAGAGCAGGAAGCTTGTCTGTTATTCTTCAGCACTGTATCCTCAGTATCAAGAAGAGTACTTGGCACACATTGTGGATGCCCCATACATATTTACTGACTAAATTGAGAAATAACAGCTTTTGAGTCTGGAAGGAGAACTCTGGAAACCTACAGACCCTTTGACCATCAAAATGACTACCAATTTTGTTTGTTGCTAATGATTTTTCATTGTGTCTGTTATTTGTATAGGCTTAGAACTAGAAGGAACCATATGCAGCATCTAGGTAATACTATCATTTCTTAGGAAGAAAAGATCAAATATAAGACATGTTTTTTTTTTTAAAGATTATATTTTTTACGAGAGAGAGAGAGCGCAAGCACAAGCCAGGCGGAGGGGCAGAGGGAGAAGCAGACTCCCCACTGGAGGAGGGATCAGGCTCCCTGATGCAGAACTGGATCCCAGGACCCTGGGATCATGACCTTAGTGGAAGGCAGAGGCTTAACTGAGCCACCCAGGCACCCAAGACATGTTTTTAAATCAAGTTAAGAAGAAAGACTAAATTGAAGGTAATAGACATGTCAGCCAGTAGGGAGTTTAGGTCAGTAGATGCCCAATTAGATTAACATAAGCTTGCATAGAGAGACCAAAAATAGGAACTCCTGAACACTGGGAGTTCATCTGATCCATTGAATTTGACGCTCATTATAAATATGGCATTTTAAGTAAATTACTTTTTAATTTTTTTAAGATTTTTATTTATTTGAGAGAGAGCACAAGCGGGGGTGGGGAGAGGGAAAAGCAGGCTCCCTGCTGAGCAGGCATCCCGACCCAGGGCTAAATCCCAGGACCCTGGGACCATGACCTGAGCCAAAGGCAGACACTTAACCGACTGAGCCACCCAGGCACCCCTTAAATAAATTATTCTTGCCATAGTTCTGCAGCTATCACTTTTTAACTCAAAGCTCTATTTTCCTTTCAACACAGTAAACTTTCAAAAAAAGGAGAGTACATTCCGGATAGTTTAAAATAGTATTTGAAAAGTTAAAGCAATCTTTCATGAAAGGAGTAGAATTAGGTAGTAGAAAGTAGAAGGTAGATAGTCTCTCTAAGATCGGTCAGATTCTTGTGGTCTGTACATATAAGGTGATGTAAGGAAGATCTGAGGGGGCAAACCTCTTGATGTAGTAGTTCCAGCTACATATGCATATTTCTTTCTGATGCAGTGATTTGTTTTTCTTAACAGAATTTCCATCTCATTGATTACCACCTGGCAGCATTCATCACGGTGATGCTTGCAAGGAGGCTGGTATGGGCCCTTATCTCAGAGGTAATAGCTCATTCACTGTATTTTATCACTTGTAGCTAGAGTTAGTTACTAGAATGGGTTCAAGCTGAGTATGTGAATTGCCCATATATAATTTGAAAACAATTACAAATTAATTTCTTTACTTCCATATGAGTTATGCTAGTTTTTTTTTAAGATTTTATTCATTAGAGCACGAGTGGGGGGGAGGGGCAAAAGGAGAGGGACAAGCCAACTCCCCGCTGAGCGGGGAGCCCTACTCCAGCCAATCCCAGGACCCTGAGATCATGACCTGAGCCAAAGTCATATGCTTAACCGACTGAGCCACCCAGGTGCCCCCATGTGCTAGTTCTTTTTAAAAGATTTTCCTGCAATGTACTTAAAATTCATTGTGCTGGAATTCAAGAGAACTGTTAGAAATCTCATTTGTTTGACAGGAGCTTATTTCTAGCTTCCGAGTTCTTCTGTATAATTTTTCTAATTTTGATAGTTATAGTAAAAATAGAATGAATTTTAAGTAACTGTTGATATGAAGAGTTATATATAAATGCACAGTTGCATCTAAAACTTTGTTTCAGGTAATATTTGCTTGATATTATGTACCATTTGTGGGGTTACTAGCAAGAGACATTTGTTTGAGTTTGTTAAAACTTGGAATTTTAAAATGACAACATCAAATTTGTATAAGACTAATCTTGAAGATTAGAATCTTAGTGGACAGTAAAGACTTGGGACATTAATATGATCTTTTTAAAATTAAATGTTAATAGAACTGGCCATTGGTAAGATTCTTTAATCTATTTGTAAACTCCATTGGAGGAGGTAAGTGTGTTCTCTTAGGATTTTATTATCTTAAGCCCTATAAATGATTATAAAAACAAAAACAAAAATGTTAACTTAGCTAAAGTGGCTAATAATTACCTTACCTCCCTATATTGGAGTTTATAATTCAGTGTATAATTTTGAATCAATAGTTACTGTAGTCAGAGATAACTGAGAGTCAATTTTTTTCCTTCTAAAACGTGCATGAAAAGTCTTTATAAGCCCTAATTTTCAGGAACCTTATTTCTTGTGAGCAGAGTAATTGAACGTATTAAGTCATAACCTGAAAGCCATTTGAAGTTAACTGAAAAACACTGGTAGTAGGATCACGTGTTTTTCACAAAGGGAAAGTCTGTCTAAAATCTTTTCTCCTAGGGGGACGCCTGGATGGCTCAGTCGATTAAGCATCTGCCTTCGGCTCAGGTCATGATCCCAGGGTCCTGGGATGTCCCACAAGGGGTTCCTTGCTCAGCAGGGTACCTGCTTCTCCCTCTGCTTGTGCTCATGCTCTCTCTTTCTCTCTGACAGATAAATAAATAAAATCTTTAAAAAACAAAAAAAACCACTTTTCTCCCAAGTTTGTTATTTAGGTCATGAAAATAGGTGCTTACTTTTGGATATATTACACTATATTCTTCCTTTAGAGGAACTCAGTGGAGTTTTATGTTTTTCTATGTGAAAACAAGCAGGATTTTGTTTAATTTCTTCAGTTACATAGAAGTGGTATTTGAACATGCCAAATTAGTATGTCCAGCTAATGTGTAAATCCTTCATAACTGGAGTTTCTACCTTGGAGCTCCAAGGGCTATAACTTGATGTACTCCATTTCTTTCTTTTGCTAATGGCTTAACAGTAGTTTAACAAGTTTTGCATGACCTTAGTTGAAAAGTATATTAGCTGTTTTCTAAAGAAACCTGTAATTCTTACCGAGAACAAAATATTTAAGCTAAATTTAAACAGGTTTCTGGTCAAAGACTGAAATCTGTACCTTAAAGTCCATGAGGAAGAATGAAAGAATGTTTAAATAATTATGGGATATCTACATAATGGAATAGCATGCAGCCATTAAAAAGATGAAAATGCACTGACCACTAAAATATTAAGTAAAAAAAAACAAAGTATATAACAGTGTTTAAAATAGGTGGGTAGAAGGAACAAAATACATTTGCTTATGTATGAATAAATTGTCTCTAGAAGGACCTGCAAACTAATAACAGGCTGCCTAGTTGTGGCTGGTAACAGGACCAGAAGAAGGGAAATTTCACAACAAACACTATTATAAATTTTGTATCTTGAGTATTGGTGAACATATTACCTGTTCAGAAATTAAAAATAAGAGCTGTATAGGGATTCTCTTCCTAAAAAAGCTAAATTAGATGGTAAGACCCATCATAAATCATCTTTCCTTCCTTCCATTAAAATGTTTGCCTTTTTTTGTGGGGGGGCAGTTGCTTATATATCCTGAGAAAGACCGATCATTTTTAAGGAGAGGCTGGAGGTAATTAATTCAGAATGCTAAATACTATTCGAAAGGAATACCTCCAACTAGATAAGACTGTTTATTCACCTCCAGGCCAATTCTACTTCTTGACTTGCTCCGCAAGACCAAAAAGTAATTCAGCTATTCTTCTACCAACCTGAGGCAACTCCCTTTTTATTTTTAAATTTATTATTATTTTATAAAGATTTTATTTATGTATTTGAGAGCGAGGATAAGAGAGAGAGAGAACATGAGAGCGAGGATAAGAGAGAGAGAGGTTAAGAGAGAGCGAGGATAAGAGAGAGAGAGAACCTGCTGAGCAGGGAGACCAACGCAGGACTCGATCCCGGGACTCCAGGATCATGACCTGAGCCGAAGACAGTCACTTAACCCACTGAACCACCCAGGCGCCCCCTGCAACTCCCTTTTTAAAAAGCTGATTTTCTAAACAGGAAGGTAGTACATTTTATTGGGAAAAAAAATTGGAAAACACTAAAATATAAAGCAGAAAAAATTTTTAAATTACAACCTCATTATTGAAAGGGCCATATTTTGATATATTTGGTATATAAATTTTTATGTGCATATGTACTACTCAGTTAACATAATATTAGGAATATTTTTCTACTCCTTACCTGGCTCATTTTTGCTTATTCTTTAATCCCAGCTAAAATACTACTTCCTCAGAAAGGCTTCCCTAGGTTGGGGTCTCTTGTTATTTGCTTTCCCTTACAGCCTACTCTTTTCCTGTAGCACTTACCACAATCGTAAAAATAATTATTTGTGTAAATATAAGTTTAATTTTTGTCTTTCTTAATTGGGCAGCCTCATAAAGACAGAATTCTTAATTTGTCTTGGTTACTACTGTGTCCCTAGGACCCGATATAGCATCTGCCATGCTTAGCATAGTGGTTAAGAGCTTGGGCTCTGGAATAAGACAAAAATGATAAATACGTCCAAGCTCTGCTACTCTGGTGACATTGGGCAGAGCAGCCTTTTTAATTTTGAAAATGGAGACAATGGAGTAATTCCAGCCATTTAAATGCCTTCCTTGGGCTTTGACATGTAGGGTACATTGGCATGAGGTATGTATCAGGGGAGTAATAACACAATTATTTGCCCTGCTGTTAGAACAGTTTGAACCTTCCCCACGGTTTGAGGCTTATAGTCTTAATTCAATTGCTTCTTCGCATTTATAAGTCACTGTATAAGTATTATATATTGCGTATATGTCATATATGCTATGTAGTATGTTGGGTAAATTAAGAAATGGATACATGAAGGACCTGAAAAGCTCCTTATCCCCTCCCATTGCTGTTGACCCTACATAATTTTTTTTTGCCCTTTCTACATTCTGACACTGCTGTTTTGAGGTTGTAGGAATCTGCCATTTTCCCTTGCATTTTGCTCATTCTCTTCCTAGTTCATTCTGAAAGAACATAACATTGCAGAGCTTCACATTTAGACAAGTATGCTTTCTTACTATATTTAATCTGTCTTTAAAATGTGGGATTAAAGAAAAATATTTGAATAGCTGTGATATAAAGAAGTGGAAGTGATTGTCCATTATTTCTGTTTGCAAAAGTCAAAAGAGAAACTTTTATTTATATAGGGATTTGTCAGAGAAGCTCTGATTATTTTTTGAAGCTCCAGTAATTCATTAAACATTAATTCAGCAAATAGATTGGGAGGAGGATCCCAAGGAAAATGGAAAAAACATTGTTGCTACTATTGAGACTATTACAGTTTAGTCTGAAATCAGATAAATTAATGGTTCAGTATCTTTATGTACATAAAAATCACCTGGTGGATTATTAAAATATAGGTCCCTTGACTTAGTTTTGTTCCCTATATTTGGTAAGGAAAGGCAGTAGGAATTTGCAAGTTCAGTAAGCAGCCCAAGTAATTCTGATGAATGTGGTTCATGGACCATACTTTGAGAAGCCCCAGTGTAAACAAATTAGACAATGTCATAAGAACTTACGGGACGTCTGTATGAGACACTATGAGAATACAAGGAGGAACCAACAAATTGCCTGGAAAAGTCTGAATCTTTAAAAATGAAGATAAGGTGGGATGGGGCAGTTTTTCTTCTCCCCCCCCTTTAATTGGAGGGGGGGGCAGATTTCCACTAAATCTTAATTCCTTGAGTCACATTGCTTTTGAATAAGGCCATTTATAAAATGTTCCTTTTGGTGCTTCCAAACTTTCAGGCCACTAAGGCGGGTGCAGCATCTATGATTCACTACATGGTTCTGATATCAGCTCGCTTGGTGCTACTCACTTTATGTGGATGGGTACTTTGTTGGACCCTCGTCAATCTCTTCCGAAGCCATTCAGTGCTCAATCTCCTTTTCCTTGGCTACCCGTGAGTACTCCAGTTTTACCATTTTATCAGTAAGTTTTTAAAGAAATTATTGGGTCAAGCAAACAATCCTATAAAAGTGAGAAAGAGGAAATTGTTCAAATATAAGCCAAAAGCTCAGAAAATTGGAAAAATCAGTGAGTAGGGTGACCATATAATTTATTCTCTACACTAGGATACAGTTGGGACAATAGGGATAAACCAGGACTGTCCCAAGAAACTGGAGAGGTCTGGCTATTCTACCAGTGGAGAATATTTTAATTGGCTCTCTTCATCAAATAAGGCGCCCAAGTACTGCCTATATTGGCAAAAATGGTAGGTAGATGTTAGTTGAATGAGCTGGCTCATCAATCTTAGTCTTTTGGTCAGATTACTTTGATCTTTGGGTTCACGTAACAGAAATACCCCATACTCAAGCCCTGTGGACTTAAGTACTTTTTTTGACCAGCATTTTATTATGGAAATTTTGAACAACATGAGATTGAAAGAATTTTTCAGCAAACACCTGTTACCCCACCTAGATTCCATTCATTAATATTTTACTATAATTGCATGACACATAACTGTCCAGCTATTCCTCTGTCCATCCATCAGTCCATCTTTTTTTGGTACATTTGAAAGTTAAATTGCAGACCTCAGTTCACTTCCTCCAAAATACGTCAGCATATGCGTATCAATAACTAGAGTTTGGTATTTGCTTACAGTTTTCCTTTTGAGGTAAAATTCATTATATAAAATAAAATTCACAAATCTGGTATACATTTGCTGAGCCTTGATAAATGCATATACCTGTAAGTCAAACCTGTATCCCAATGTGGAACATGACCATTATTCCAGAGGTTCCTTCATGCCTCTTTCCAATCAAACCCCACCCCCCACTTCCCAGAGGTAATCACTGTTTTGATTTTTTTCCACCATAGATTAGTTTACCAGTTCTAGAATTTCATATAAATGGAATTATAAGGTATATACACTTTTGTGTAAGGCTTCTCTCATTCAGCATGTTGTTTTTGAGAATCCTCCATGTGGTTACATATGTCTGTAATGTTTCATTATATGAATATACTACAGTTTGTTTAGTCTCCTGTTGAATATCTGGGTTGTTTCCAGTTTGGAGCTATTACTAAAAATAAAACTGTTAGGCACATTCTTATACAAGTCTTTTTTTGTGAAGAAATGTTTTCATTCTCTTCAAAGAAATACTAGGAGAAGCCTTGCTAAGCCATAAGGTAGGAGGAATATGTTTAGTTTTATAAGAATCTACCAGACCTTTTCCCAAAGAAGTATCATTTTATCCTCCCATAAATTCTTTTTTTTTTAAAGATTTTATTTATTTATTTGACAGAGACAGCGAGAGCAGGAACACAAGCAGGGGGAGTGGGAGAGGGAGAAGCAGGCTTCCCGCGGAGCAGGGAGCCTGATGTGGGACCCGATCCCAGGACTCTGGGATCATGACCTGAGCCGAAGGCAGACACTTAACGACTGAGCCACCCAGGCACCCACCTCCCATCAATTCTATAAGCATTCTGGTTGCTCCACATTTTTATCAGCATTTGATGTTTTCTGTTTTTTAAATTCTAGCCATTGTGATGAGTGTATAGTTGTATCTTATTATACATACTGGCTTTTAAACTCTTCTGAATAGTTTAACTTGTATACCTTGGGCTAATACTTTCTTCATTGGATGTTAGTAGATAGCTACCACTTATTGCTGTTATGTGCTAGCTGCTGGGCTAGATGTTTATAAACATCACCTCATGAAATCATCCCATAACCCAGGAGGCTGTGTATTTAGTCTGACAACAGTTCCAAAGTACTAGTGGCTTTAAAAAGTTAGAAGTTTATTTCTCTCTTTTGTATAGTCTGTGTGTAAATCATCTTGGATAGCTGTGGAAGCTAGCTTCCAAGGTGTTGGGAGCCAGGCTTCTGCTCTCTTTTTTGCTCCACCTTCCCTAACAGGATAGACTATAAGGGAGGTTGGAAATTTGTCTTTAGTAGAACAGCTGTATCTCAACTAAAAATTCTGTTGCAGTGGAAGAGCAGGAGAACAGTGGCTCTTGGCAGACAATTAGCAGGCTTTGCCACAGGTAAAGACAGATTAAGAGACTAAAAACCTTTCCTGTGGTCAATTAGAAAGACTCAGGTCTTTTTGATTCCAGCGTTCTTGTCTGCACCATTACTCTGTAATCAGTAGTTCTCAAAGTGTGGTTCTCAGAACAGCAGCATCAGCATCACCTGGAAATTTTTTAGAAATAGAAATTCTCAGATCCACCCCAAACCTACTGAAACAGAAACTCCAGAAGGTAGGACCCAGCAATTTGTCTTTTAACAGGCCCTCCAGATGATTCTGATGCTTGCTCAAGCTTGAGAATCATTGCTTTATATAACCATTTATGGTGCTGAAGTGTAAGCATGGATTTATATGGGTAGTTACATAGTATAAAATCAAGGCATAATCAGAGATTATGCAGGGATGGCAGGAAGAGTCTTTCTATTGGTTGTCCTATGGTGGGTCTAATTATACTGTTTACTTATTTATTTTTCTAGTTATACTGTTTAATTATTTAAGGCAATCAACTCAGTTCATTAGTATTACCCTTTTCCCTACAAAATGAACTCTATATTATAAACATCATTTTCCATGATTCATATTTATTATAAGGCATATATTTTACATCAGTTGTTTCTATATGTCTAGACTAATACTTTACCTACTTCAACTTCAGATGATTTCATTATTCTATTTCTCAGCAATAGCTGGTTGAATCAGTTGGGTTTAACTGCATTTGATTTGAAAGGCTAATTATGGATATATCAAGCAATATTTTGGGCAGGTTTAAAAGAATTACCATGTCAAAATGGCTAGCAAACTTGTTCATTTCAATAGAATATAAAGAAACTTAATTTTGAAGGTTCCCCACGCCCCTGTAAAACAATGAAAGAAGCATGTAATTTAAACAGATTTTATGTTTAAATATATTTGCCTTCTTCACTTTTTAAAAGTTGAATAATCTTTTACCTAACTTAAATTAAAAAATAATTATAAGAAGTTTAACATACTAGACAGTGGCAATAACTACATTTTTATTTTCTTGTTTATTCATAGGTTAAAAAAGGGACTCTTTACTGCCTTTTTTTTTTAAACTTGATTCTCGGCTAGCTTCTCAGTTTAGGTTAGTCCAGTGACTAATGGTTGTAGCTCTTATATTTATCTTGACTCTATCCACTGCTCTCTGTAACCTCTGCCGTTACATTCTAAACTTCCATCTGGTCTTCTGGTAATCCATTCTTGCTCTCCTCCTTTCCATTTTTTACTGTAGCCGTAATGATTTTCAGAATGGAAGTTGAATCATATCACTAACCCTCTTTAAAATTCTTTAATGAATCATTTCCTTTACCCCCTTTTACCTTACAGAGCTCTCCAAAGTCTAAGCCTTTGATGCTACCTTTCTAGTTTCTCTCATTCTACCCTGTGTCAGTTACCTATTGCCATATAATGCTGTAACAAACAGCTGCAAAACCATGGTAGCATTTCACAATGTGTATTTATTGTGCATGCGTTGGAGTCAGCTGGAAGTCAAGAAGCGCTCCTGATCTTAGCTGGGTTCAGTCACCCTTGTGGGATTGACTAGCTGTCAGTTTAAGTAACCAGGACAACTCAGCTCTGCTCTAAGTGTCTCTCATGCTCTGTCAGGCTAGGTATGGACACATGAAATTGATCAAATGGAATGAAAGCAAGCCCCAGCGTGCAAGCCCATTTTAAGCTTCTGATCACATCGTGTTTGCTGACATTCCATGGGCCAGAACAGGTCACATTGTTGAGCCCATTGTGGGGCTAGGGCAGGGTCACTTCACACACAGAATGAGGGCTGTGTAGTAAGACTACAGGAAGGGTTAAGAAATGGGGCCATCCTTGCAATCTGCCACACACCCTAGCCTCTCGTCTCACCTCTATATGTGCAGCTTGTGTTTCAGCAATATTGACAGGTTTCTCTGGCCTTCACAGTTTTGCATATGTGTGAGTTCTGCCGGTTGCTTCTTCATTTACTCCTTCCCACACTACTACTCCAGGGCACATTCATGGTGGATCACGGAGCTGCTAACCATCCTCTTACTTTGTGACAAGCTCATTCTTTCTCCCTCTAGAGAAAACTAGGAATAGATGAATTTGTTAATATTTTTATAAAATACATAACTAAATAGGATATCTTTGTAATTGCTATTTTTCATATCTGAATTTATGCCAGTGAAATGACCATTTTATTTACAATATGTAAATCACAATGTGGACATTACTTAATGAGGACTGGGGCAAGTATTTTTAAAAAGTTTTAAGGAACCAAGGTTGAAATAACTGTAAGAAGTTAGGAAGTCTCAAAAATATCCAGTCCTTTAACCAAGTTATTCTGCTTCTAGAAATTTTTTTATTGTACTTCTAGAATTTGTTTCATTAATTCATCAAATATTTATTGAGTGCCTAGTATGTTTCAGCCACTATTTTAGACATCAAGGAAATAGCAGTGAATTAAGTACACCCAAATCTCTGGTACACAGAACTTAATATTGTAGTGAGGGGGAAGATAGACCAAAAAAGAAGAACAAAACACCCCCACCCAAATAAAAAACCTGAAAAGTATGTAAAATATATGAGTGGTAAGATGTGTGAAGAAAAATAACCAGGCAGGGGGAACTAAGAGGGCCTGTAGGATTGGGGTGGGTGATGTAGTGGGGAGGCAGGGGAGCCCCTCACTGAGAAGGGGAAATTGGAAGTGAAGTGCGCACCATTTGAAAATTACCAGATGCACACAAAGATCATGTAGGATCTTATCCATACATTCATATTTATGGTAATGCAAAGTAAGAAACCACCTAAGTTTCCAACAAGAGAGAAATGAGCAAATTATGGTACATCTCTATGAGAATACTATAGTATCTTTAAAAATTGTTATAGAAAAAATATGTAATGACATGAAAAAAATGCTCAAAATAGATACCCATACATAAACACACACTCAAAGTTACAAAACAGTTTATACTGTATGAGGCTAAACATAAAAAAGAAAAAAGTATGAAGTCTGTGCACCCAGTTGTAAAAATTATAAAAGTGATCATTTTTTGGTGTTTTCTATTTTGTCATTGTGATTTTCTGTAGTCTTCTATTCTACAATGAATGTATATTGCCTTTGTGTGAAGAAATTAAAGAACTTCCCCAGTAATGAATTTACTGTCAGCAGAGTCCCTGTTCTCTTAAGTTCATTCTCGTGAATCATGACTATTTTACTAACATAGTTATCAGCTTTGATCTTAGGTGGCATCTGTGGTCTCATTTTCATATTTACCGTCTTCTACAGGTTTGGTGTTTATGTTCCACTCTGCTGTTTCCACCAAGATAGTAGAGCTCATCTTCTTCTCACAGACTATAACTATGTGGTTCAGCACCAGGCGGTAGAAGAAAGTGCCTCAACTGTGGGTGGCTTGGCCAAATCCAAAGACTTCCTCTCCTTATTGCTGGAGTCTCTAAAAGAACAGTTTAATAATGCCACGCCCATCCCCACACACAGCTGCCCCCTATCTCCAGACCTCATTCGCAATGAAGTTGAATGTCTAAAAGCAGATTTCAACCACAGAATCAAGGAAGTTCTCTTCAACTCCCTCTTCAGTGCCTACTATGTTGCATTTCTCCCCCTGTGTTTTGTGAAGGTAAGTGGTTCCTTTTATGTGCTTCCTGGATTTGTGTGTGAATGACATAAACTGGGTATTTCTTATTTAATCCCCCTTTTCTCTGTCTCCCCTTTGGCAGCCTGGATGGTGGAGTTCGGCTGCATCTGGAGTGCACTAATACCGCTCCTGGTTGGCGGATAGGTATTTCCATATATGTGATGCACCCGTGGTGGTCCCCTCTTTTTTTTCTCTTTTTTAAAGTTTTTTTTTTTTTTCCAGTTTCTGGGGAAAATAAAGTTTGTGTTTATAATAGAATCAGTATGTAGTAGCTTAAGAGGATTGAGGTTTTAATACAGTTCAGCCTACTGTAGTTGATCTTAACATGGTTAATCAGGACTTTCCTTGAATTTAATCTAACCTTTATCTAAATTTCAATTTACTTCAGTAGAAAAGAAAAATGGTCTGGATGTCACTTGAGCCCAAAATCTTTTGGGACATTTTAGTACCCTTTCTTCACCCACTGAGAAGCACATCTGCAGCCGGAGTGGTCAATTACAGAGGGCACTCACCTCTTCTAGAAAGGAAGCACTTAAAATATAATTGCCTCTCCCTCCCAACCCTAATTCATACAGCCAGAAAGTCAGGTTGAAGGATTTTGGAGGACTCTGCTCTTGAACTTTCTGCACGGACAGCAGGACAACCAATGCATGTGTGACTCAGTGTGGCATTTGTCTGCAGGGCGTATGTACACGCACCCATCCCTACCTTCTTGCTTAACAGTGCATAGATCATTTCTCCCTTTTCTGATCTTTTCCAGAGTACCCAGTACTATGACATGCGCTGGTCATGTGAGCACCTCATTATGGTGTGGATCAATGCTTTTGTCATGCTCACCACACAACTGCTGCCATCCAAATACTGTGATTTGCTACATAAATCAGCTGCTCACCTGGGCAAGTGGCAGAAGCTTGAACATGGGTCCTACAGCAATGCTCCACAGCACATGTGAGTAGCCTAGAGGGTAAAACCATATAACACCTTCTACATGCTGCTGATCATGTTTATTTGCTTTGTATGTCATTCTTGTTCTTGGCTTTTGAACATTTAATTTTTAGTTTTTTGTCTACGTGGATGCTTGTCATCACTCTAAACTGAACACAGGGGACATTAACTCATTCCCACCACCATCCCCAGTCCCTCCTTAAATGCCTCCTACCTGTCAGCTGCCCGGTCACCTGGAGTGTGTAATTTGTTTCCCAAGCTGTAATATTGGAGTTTTCTTTCAGTCTTAACCCTTTGCCCAAATTCACAGAGTCATGATATATTTTTAATTCTCTTTGGAAGCCTGTAAGATTCATCTTCTCCTCATTGCCACAGCTAAATAGTTGCTAGCTAATCATCTTACACTCAGGCAGCTAGAATTTGCTTCTCTCATCTTTTCTTTCTAATAAATGCAAATTTGTTCTAGTAGTTTTCCTTGCTTGCATTTTTTATCTTTTTTCCTAAACTCGCTAGTGAATGTTTCCCTGCTTTTCCCATATTTAAATGAAAACTCTCCCTAATTGAGTTCTCTCTGAGTATTCCTCTCATTGTGTCCCCTTATCAGTCATTTCTCTGCATGGTCCCTGTGATCCAAAATGGGTAACTTTAGAACCCTTTTGTTCTCTCACTTCTGAGCCCTTCACCATACCTTCCTGTCAGACCTGGACCATCTTCATCTTCCTCCCTTTTATAATTGGAACATTTCACAAATTTCATCACCTAGAAATTCTTTCCTAATGAAGTGGGACAGATTGAGGGGACTTGCCCTTCCCCTGTCCCCCTCAGAGTCCTCCCTTCAATTATCTGCCTTGATGTCTGATACAGATTAGCACAGGCCTTCAAGCCCAGGAACTGAGAGAGATTGGGCCAGGCTGAAAAGAAACCTGACTGTGGGCAAAGGACAAATTTCAATAAAAATTGAAAATACAATCCACAGTACTAGTACTGTACATCTTCAGGCTCCTTGATGGCACATGGCCATGAGGTGTATCATCACTTTAATGCTGGTAAGTGTGAGCAAGGCCGACGGCACATTTTCTGAACTGGGAAAGCTTCACGGTGCTAGACTTTTTTCTTTTCCTTTTTTTTTTTTTTTAACATACCTAAAATGTCCCAGTTCTTACCCTAGGAAACTAACCTTTCCAAAATCAGGAAGAGATGAATTAACAGATTTTTTAAAAAGCTTAACCTGAAGATCCCCAACCCCACCCCAACTCCATTACATTGGTGCTGGAAACAATGAAGCTTCTTCCATAACTTCTTTTTCCTAGAGAAACTTCTACAAAAATAAACCAAGAAAGCAGTAAAAAGTAGTCTGTGTGTCATTACCTTGTGTGTCTCTGTGTTCTGTATATCTTCATGCATATATGAGGCATTTGAAGTATGTGACAAATAGATTGATTTTCTATAGCTTTCTGGGATGTAGTTCTACAGTAGATGTCATGCTGATTTGACAGTGTGTTCATTTCTCCACTACTCTCACTACAGTCCATTTTCTCTTGTTTGTTCTCTCTAGCATTTTCATCAGTAGATTTTGCTCACTTGGGATTGAGATGACAGTCCACTTACTTAACGCTTGATTTTCTGGCTCATAGATGCCTTACACATTAACTTCTGCTCATTCTCTGAAGCCTCATAAGTCCTTTGACACTGAGTTAACTGTATATCACTTTGCAGCCTCTCTACTATATAGCAATGAAGTTATGATAACAAATCCTTCCTAACTCTTTCCAGTTTGACTATACAATGTATTCTCAATTCAGGCAGATGAAGCCTTGAATACTTAATCCCTTCCATAGAAATGTAGTTGGCCTTGCCAGACACTGTCTTATCTGTAATTGCCAATATGCTAACATTGCATTTCTTTCTCCCTTAGTTGGTCAGAAAATACAATATGGCCTCAAGGGGTGCTGGTGCGACACAGCAGATGCTTATATAGAGCCATGGGGCCTTACAACGTGGCAGTGCCTTCAGATGTATCCCATGCCCGCTTTTATGCAAGTACCACATTTCTTTTCAAACATAAACTTAGTGCTAAGTGTTAGGAGGCCACTATGTGTGTAAGCACCTAGCACAGTGTGTAGCACATCGTAATTATTACTACTACTATAATAATGGCCCTTGTCTTTTGGAAATATATTCAGAAAGGCAGTTTAAAGATCAGATACCAGCTAGCATTGTCCCAGCTCCAACAGCTTAAAAGTCCTATTGGGATTTGTCATGTCTGGTATTACCTGAAACAAGTAGGCAGTTATTTAAGACTTCCCTTTTTCATCTTATAATTTTTATTTGTTAATAGTTTGGTTTAGTGGTATCCTTATTATATTGTGTTTATGTATCCTTAAGTGATATTTAGTATAGTAATAATGTAATGGTTTTGTTTGTTTTTATTGGGTTTGGGTTTATTTTTTGTTTGGGGTTTTTTTTTGGTATTTGTCATTTGTATCACCTCCTTAAAGTACCTTGACTTCCCTTTTGAAAGTAAGACAAATGCCATGATCTCTGGCCTTTTACCTCTTCCTGGATTAAAAGGAAAAAGGCTTACAAGTTAAAAAGGAAGAAGCAATAGACATCCATTAAACCCAGCTTCTGTCCCATTTGAATTTATGCCTTGGATTATGTTCTATTGATCTTTCAGTTTTCTGGAAATTCCGACTCTAGGAGGCAGAAGTATTTATATGGGAAAGGCTACCTGATTAGTCGCAGTGGGGAAAAGAAGGTGCATGCAGGGGACTGTTCATAGTGCAGTGCCTTGCCTTTCAGTGGAGATTATAGTCTAAAAAAGAATTGGAGATCTTTTTTTGAGATACTTGAATCTCATTCTGCCTCCTTCCCAGTTCCCTGTGAAGGTACATGGGCGTTCTGGTTCTGCAGGTGTTTGCTGCTAAGGGCCTTGCAGTTAAATACTGGGAGTTTCACATCAGGGCTGGATGTTTGTAAATACAATGGGGGTGGGTAGGGGAGGACAGGGTGGGGGCTGGGAGGAGCATGGGGCAGGTGAAAGGCCCTTGAATGAGGAAACTAGGGAGGAGCGGACTTAAGTCACAACCACATAAGCATTTGGTTTCTACACAGAATATTTAATTCAGTCAGGTGTATTCCATAGGCCGTTAATGACTTCTGTTGGCCCTTGCAGTCGCCTCAAGAAACCTATAATAACCAGATGTTTTATTGGAGTTTTCTGCTTGAAAAATAAGTATTTTCCTTGCTAGTGTGTTGGATTGCTGAAGAATCAGGTGAAATCCAAAGAATAAGGATTAAGGAAATTAACTTATTACTGATTTTGCATGACCGAACAGGTAAATCAGTGTTTTGTCCAAGTGGTCCTTGGGCCACTTGCATTTAAATCACCTGGCTCACTCTTTAAAGTAATTCAGGGTCCCTACCCTAGCTGAATCAGAATGTCTGAAGGATTCCAGGAATTTGCAGCATTTACCTATTTGAAATGATTCTTAGGCACACTGAAGTTTGAGAACACTCATTTAAAATGTGCCGACTACCTATAGCTGTTAGAAGTTAAAACTTTTCCTCACCTTTCTACTCATTCAGTTTATAGCTTACTGGCACATTTAATTTTAATTGTTATAATTGTCGCAGAAACTCCCATTGCCTGAGTCCTTTTGGAATATTAATTCTGAGCCAATTTTATACATGATATTACTGGGTATCATATACTATAACCCAGGTTAAACATTTTCTTCCTCTCAAAGAAGGACCCGAAGAACCTTGCTACCTTTTGGAGCTGTCATGATGATTTGGCTTTATTTTCAGATTTGAACCTTGAGGTCTAAATTAGTTTATTTAGATCTGATATGCTACCATTGCCACAGTTTGCAACCTTCTGTCTTTCTATTCATAATATGTTTTTATTAGTAAACCAGGATTTAGCCTCTTAGAGTGAAGAATTTGGTGGAATGAAAACAGCAGCCCTGTTTTTAGCCAAACTCTAATTCTGATGAATTTTTCCTTCCTTCCTCATTGTCCTGTCTGTGTACCCTACTTCTTAATATCCAGAAAAAAACCCAGCAGAAATATATGGTGTAGAGGATTTGAGTCAGTGATGATGGTGGGTGAATGGTTTAAGGGAAAATTAAGAAATTATTGTTTTGATATTTCCGCTTGTAAGACTTCCCCTCCCCCCAGACTTGTCTAGTGTGTTTATGTCTTAGATCAGCCCACAGACTAACAATGATTTTTACTTTTTTAAATGGTTCATTTTAAATGGCTTTAAGTACCTGTATAATATCTTTAATTTTTGCCTCTTGACTTGCGAAGTCTAAAATATTTTCCATTCAGTCATTTATCCAGTCCCTGTCTTAGATAAATGTACTTTTGATTATCTCAAATAAAATATATAGCCAAGATATAATTTTAAGAAAAATGTTTAGAGGCAGTTCTTTTGGGTGGGATCCTTTCTCATATCTCAGGGCATTGAAATAAAATTTATTTCATTATTCCTTGAGCAAAAAGGCGAAGGTTTGGGTCTCTACAGCAAGAAATAGCCTGATTGATGTTCAGTAAGCAGATCCATATGTTATTGCACACAGCAACCTGTAAATATGAAATTGTTTTAGGAGAAAAATGTGAGAATAACTACAGTCTTTACCTTTCTATGAAATAACGTTTTGCCTTTCAACTTCCTTACAGTTCCTATTTCATCGTCCATTAAGGCTGTTAAATCTGCTCATCCTTATCGAGGGCAGTGTCGTCTTCTACCAGCTCTATTCCTTGCTGCGGTCGGAGAAGTGGAACCACACACTTTCCATGGCTCTCATCCTCTTCTGCAACTACTATGTTTTATTTAAACTTCTCCGGGACAGAATAGTATTAGGCAGGGCATACTCCTACCCACTCAACAGTTATGAACTCAAGGCAAACTAAGCTGCCTCTCAACAATGAGGGAGAACTCAGATAAAAATATTTTCATACGTTCTATTTTTTTCTTGCGATTTTTATAAATATTTAAGATATTTTATATTTTGTATACTATTATGTTTTGAAAGGTGGGAAGGGTAAGGGATATTAAATGTATCCACAAACAAGGTGATGTGATCTTTCATGTGTTAGTACATTTGAATAATACACAGGACGAGAGGTGTGCCTCTCCAGTAAAGAGATTGATTTGTTTGTATGGCTCTGGAATAACTCATTCATTTATGAACACATCTCATATATCACTTGACACCATATCTTTGGTGTGTCTACTTTCCTTCCAGTCCTTTCATTATCTTCAGTTCTCAGTTGGCCTTCATGCTACAGAAAGGGAGATCAGTGGAGTTGCCTGACAGCACCCATTCTCTTTCTCTTTGGCTGGTTAATAGTATTGGAATACTTGGGGCAAAGAGTGGCTTATAGTCCTGGCTGGGACTCCCTTTGTTGCATCCTGGGAGGAAGCATTTCTGAGAAATAGGAACTCAGTGTTTTGTTCTGCCCAATGACATTTAAAAATACCTATGAATAAGCTACTGTCCTGAAACTCAGAGGATATTGCTGTCATTTTCCCTGTTCTTTCATTTCTTTTGCCTCTTAAGATTTTCCTTTAATTGTTAGCTGTTTGAAGTGATACTTTTTAAGACAAAGTCTTTAGAGTGCCTGCACTCAGGAAGAAGGTGTATGGCTGGACCAGTGGGAGAAGATGAGTGCAAATGCCGTGTGGGCTGGAGTATGGGCAGGCTGAAGATCCCAAGTGACTAGAAGAATGGGCAAGTCCTCAGCTAAACGATCTTGGATGCAGTCTGGGCAGCAGCTCACCTACAGCGGCATGTTTGGAGTTATAAGCTGAAGTGAAATAGAAGAAGTTACCTCTTTGTCCCCTGATAATTTGATCTGTGCCTAAAATGTGTTTTTAATTTCAAATTCCAGAACCTCTGTGTTTGTGAGCATTAACCCTTTTCAGTCCATGTCCATATTCTCGAGAGGTGATCTTCATCAATTGATGTCACTAGTCATCTAAGCTTCTGAGGCCTTGTCTTGAGAGCCTGAAATATATTCTCATACGTTTTCTGTGCTTGGTTTGGCTTTTTTACACTGTGAACTTTTTGGTGAAACACAATATGACTTATGAAGTAAAAAGACCAATCATGTAATTCATAAACTGGCTCTGAAAACAATTCTTGCAGAAGAGTTCCCAACAGGTTTGCAGCAAAGGCAGCATGATGAGGGCTAGGGGTATATACGCAGCTACCCAAGGTGAATGCTCTGTTTAAATTAACCATTGTTTCCATAAGTATTTTGATGTATGTACTTTTTTTTTTTTAAGTTATGTAATTTGGCAATAAGTCTGAGTCTATTCAGCAAACGCATGTTGACCACCAGGCACCATGTTAGGCACTGGGGATATAGATAGCAGTGAATAAGAAATGCAAAGACCCTACCCTCATAGAACTTACAATGTGGGGGGTGCAAAAATGTGCCATAAATAAATTTATATATAATGTCTCCTGGTAGTAATAGTAAGTGTGGTAAAGAGAAAAAAAATTGGGGCAAGGAAATAGTATTAGGAGTGGCATTGCTAGAAGGCATCTTTGAGAAGATAATTTCTGAGCAAAGCAAAGAAGCAAGACTGAGCCATAGAAATAGCTTTGGGGAGTATTCAGTAATAGCAAGGGCAGTGGCCTAAAGTGGGAACAATTTTGGTATATTGGAAACATAGCAAGGTAACCACAGTATATCGGTTTCGTAAATGGTTCAGCCTAAATATGGTAGTTCTTGGACTGAAGGAGGGCAGGAAGGTTGCCATTTCAGTATTCTTTCCTTAGGGTCTTAAAGATAGGGTTTCTTTTGATTAATAAACATCTTTTTCTTTTTTAAGATTTCACTTATTTGCGAGAGTGAGAGAGAATACATGAGTGGTGGGGAAGGGCAGAGGGAGAGGGAGAAACAGACTACCCGAGCAGGTAGCCCAACTCGGGGCTCGATCTCAGGACCCCGGGATCATGACTTGAGCCAAAGGCAGACGTTTCACTGAGCCACCCAGGCACCCTTGACTAATAAACTTCTTGATGAGGTTACTTGACAGTTAAGAGCAAAATGGGTGGTCTTGGCACAAAGATGTCTCATCAAAATGGCTCCAAGTTGGTTCTCTCACTGAAAAGCAGTCCAGATAACTGATCAGAGATAACAGACTACTCTAGTTTGACCTGTCTCGGCCATGACCTGAACAGAGTGGTACAGGAGGACCAGAGGCCAGGCTGGCAAAATGAATGAGGATAAGAAATAACTAGTTTTGGCTATAGGAATTAGGAAGTGCCCCCCTCTCTTTTCAGATACAACAGCATCAGGGAGATAAAAGTCTGCAGTTCAACATGCTGCTACTCATTTCGGCCGCCCTTTATAGGTGCCACATTCATATGGGGAAGAGAAAAATTACCAGTGACCTGTGTATGCTATTATGGATCATGTGAGAGAAAGGATATCATCTTTGTTTAGTGATAGGAGATGCATACTCAGTAAAGGATGGCCTTTTGGTGATTATATACTGGGAAATTAAATGGTGTGTGGAAAAACGGTATATAGCAAAAGATCAGCTGGGTGAACCTTGAATACAAGAAAAGGAAGGAGGATGCTTGACCAGCTGTTAGGGTGGCTTAAGGTAGGTAAGTAGAGAAAAATAGTTCACAGGCATGAGCATGATGGAAGTGTTCCTCATTATCCTATTTACTCTGATTCCATGTTATATTCCTTAAGCTTCTCCCCTCCCTATCAAATCATCACCACCAGTACCCCTCCCCCATTTCTATTTCCTGAGTAGTTACTATGTCCTGGACACTGCTGGGTGCCAGAGATAGTGATGTTTAGAGTTGATTAATTGAAGGCAGGTAAGTAAATCAATAATCATAACAGAAGGGTGTTCAGAATGGAAGTACATACTCAAGGTACAGAGGTGACACAGAAAAGCATCATCAACTTTGCTTGGAAGCTGCAGTGTCAGGGAGGACTTCACTGCAGCAGTAACACATAGGCATTTTAAAGGAGGACTGGGAGAGTACCACATAAATGAGGGAGAGAGGGTTCATGTAGTGGGAACAAGATAGACAAAAACCCAAGGCATGGACTTGCACCAGTTCTTAAATAACTAGTTCAATAATGCTAGAGAAGTAGGCAAAGAATAGATTATAGGAGGTCTTGAATTCCATGTTGAGGGGTTTGAAATTTTATTATCTTGTAGGTCACAGGTTCTCAAAAGTGTGATCCTTAGGGGCGCCTGGGTGGCTCAGTCGTTAAGCCGTCTGCCTTTGGCTCAGGTCATGGTCCCAGGGTCCTGGGATCGAGCCCCGCATCGGGCTCCCTGCTCTGTGGGAAGCCTGCTTCTCCCTCTCCCACTCCCCCTGCTTGTGTCCCCTCTCTCGTTGTGTCTCTCTCTGTCAAATAAATAAAATCTTTATAAAAAGTGTGATCCTTGGACACTACATCAGATCTACTAAATCATAATCTTGAGAGTAAAGCCCAAAACTGTGCCCCTTCCACAAGCAATTCAAGTAATTTTTTTTTTTTTTAAGATTTTATTTATTTGACAGCACAAGCCAGGGAGTGGCAGGCAAGGGAGAGGCAGAAGCAGGCTCCCCACTGACCAGGGAGCCCGATGTAGGGCTTGGTCCCAGGGACCTGGGATCATGACCTGATCCAAAGGCAGATGCTTAAACCGACTGAGCCACCCAGGCGCCCCAATTCAAGTAATTTCTTAAGCAGACAGAAGCCTAGGAACTGAAGACCGCTAGTGAAAGATTTTCAATTGAGGACTAATGACCTCAAGGGTTCTCAAGTCAGGAGTTCTCAAAATATAATATCTGGGTCTGCAGCAGCAGCATCACCTAACTGGGAACTTGTTAGAAATGGAAAATTTCAAGCCCCGCCCCAAACCTACTGAGTCAGAAACTCTGGATAGAACCCAGATGTCTGTCTGAACACACTCAAGGTGATTTTGATGGGATCCACTATCCTATCTTAAGACAACTTTGGCAGCAATATATACAATCTGGAGGATGGACAGATGTCAATAAGACTTAAAGCAGGAAGAGGGCACATTCTGCGTGGAGCACTGGGTGTTATACACAAACAATGAATCATGGAACACTACATCAAAAACTAATGATGTAGGGCGCCTGGGTGGCTCAGTTGGTTAAGCGACTGCCTTCGGCTCAGGTCATGATCCTGGAGTCCCAGGATCGAGTCCAGCATCGGGCTCCCTGCTCAGCGGGGAGTCTGCTTCTCCCTCTGACCCTCTTCCCTCTTGTGCTCTCTATCTCTCAAATAAATAAATAAAATCTTTTAAGAAAAAAACTAATGATGTATGGTGATTAACATAACAATAAAAAAATTTTAAAAAAAAAGCAGGGAGATCAGTTAGCCAACCATTTAAAAAGTCTATGTAAGAAGTGAGAGGGTGTGTGGGGGGTGTCGCCACTGTGTGGGTGATAGAAAAAGTGGAGTGAAAAGAGGATGAACAGAATTCTGGTAAATAACATTTAAGAGCAGAGGAAGAGGAAGCTTTCAAATGAATAAGACTAAGGAAATGGAAGTCTAAGACAAGGTGAATTAGTGTTGCAAGGAAGAAATGATCAGGGGTGCCTGGGAGGCTCAGTCAGTTGGGTGGCTGCCTTTGGCTCAGTTCATGATCTGTGGGTCCTGGGATCAAGCCCTGACCGGCTTCCTGCTCAGCGGGGAGTCTGCTTCTCCCTCTCCCTCTGTGCGCATGTGTGCTCTCTCTCAAAATCTTTAAAAAAAAAATAAAAAGGAAGAAATGATCAACAGTATCCAATAAGGAAGTCAAGAGACTGAGAACTGTTGGGTTTGGTTATTAGATCATTAGTGACTTTAGTAAGAGAAATTTTAATGGAGCAATGGGGGCGGAGGTCAGTCAGGTTGGTTGGTCCAGAGTAGTGAATTGGAATGAAGAAGAAGTGAATTAAAAAGTGTTCTTGGGAGCCCTTGGGAAGGAGGAATAGCAATTTCTGTGAGCTAGAAGGGAGGTTAGATACACACGTACATGGAGAAGGGGAAGTGCTTGCTGGGGGAGTGGGGGTGGGAGAAACATCTGACAGCAGAAACGTGGTGAAGTAAGAGGCAATTTTGGGGGGTCAATCTAGGAGGGGGCTTAGAATAGTGGAATAGCTTTTGTGAGTTTTGGGAATGAGGGTACTGCTGAGGTGGTAAACCATAAATTTCCATGGTTTTATGATTTTTCTCGGGTCTAACTCAGTAGATAAAAGGACGGAGAAGATGGGTGGTAAGAGTCCTGGTCCTAGTTTGGAGGTTCACCAGGCAGGTATGGCTGAAGTGGTGAAGGGAGTTAGTGGTGCTGGTGTGAATAGTTGAGATGCTGTAGCCTGGGGTCTGGAAAGGCTAGGGAAGGAAAACTGAAGTCTGGTTGGGCGTACTGTCTGTCAGAAAGGGTAGAGGTAGACCAGGCATAAACGATCTTGAACAGGTTGGAGAAATAAAGGAGCAAGGATAGAAGTTCTGAGAATGGAATATGAGAGTTTAGGTTGTGAAACAGCATAATGTGTAACCCTGGAGGCAAATGGCCAAAACTCAAGAGAGGTAAAAGCTGTGAGCTACTGTGCCAAGACTGTGGAGTGGGTTTTCCTCAGAAACACTGAAATCATCCAGAACAATGGTGGAAACAGGAAGCTCGTGCCAGAGGCTGGGAGACCTGGGACATTGACTACATCATGGCCACAACGAATGGTAAAAAAAAATAGCTGGACTCCATGAATTTTGGTAATGAGAGATTTCTGTATGAGATGGGAAGAAGCAATGGTGCAGAAACAGAAGTGAGACACGAGAACATCTCAGCAATTTGTAGTCTGTAACAAGGGAGGAATGTGTAGCCTTCAGTGTAGGAACTGGGGTGCCCTCAGGGGAGCGTCAACTTTTATGGGAGTCCAGGAAGTGGAAGCAACATTCAGGGAAGACCCCAGGGTTGTGAGAAGACTCCAGAGCAACTGTGGGATAGATTAGGAATGAGGGCAACTATGTGCTGCCAGTTGGGGGGCAGTGGGCACGGATAGAGGAAAGAGAAACAGAGCTGAATGGGGATCTGGGAGTATGGAGGAGAAAAGGCATTTAGGGAAGTAATGAGGATGACAGGAGCAGGCCTGAGTAGCGTAAAGTTCTAAAAAGAATATTATTGTCAAAATACTAGTATTTTTATCCCCTTGGCAATGGTGTTTCTCACTGCAAATATCACCAGATTGTGAGCCTCCATTGTATGATTGTTTTTTCTAAGGGCCTGTGATCAAGACCCATTGAGTGCCCTTCTCCCCCTTTTTTGTGATTACATATGCCAGGATTTTTCTTCTTTAACATAATCATTAACATAATCATTCAAATGGAAGAGTAGTTCCCCTCGATTGATGCAAGTAATAGAAAAGTTGAGTTCACATCTGTTCAGATGGACCCACATAACTCCGTAAGCTGCAGACTTTTGAGAAGCAATAGGTTTTTTCTTCTTAGTTTTCATGACAATATCCATTGATTTATACAGGGTATCTTAGGTAACGTGTATGATCGCAACAGTAAGAGAGAGAAGTTGCAAATATTTGACAGTAAGAAGTAAAATAACAAAAGAAAAATTTACTGAAGCAAATCAGACTTTGGCTGTGAGACCAAACCTTGAAGTAAAAACTAACATCGAACTAGAACAATGAGCCTGATGCATATAATCTACTTTTTCTAATATTGATTTTGGTGACCCCAGGTCCTCCTCTAGTTCATAGTGCCATCATAAGCATTATCCTTTATATCATTTATTAGAATACATTTTTAAAGCGTAACAATCTGTTTTAATTACACTTAAATGTCTCTATGGATAGGTTTAATATTTATACTTTTTTAATCAATAGAAAAAATTTGATTATATCTTTGGAAACATATTTGTCGAGCTCAACAAACAAGCTGAAACCATGTGGATTTCTAACAGATGCCTTTGACAAAGTTCTTTACCTTGCAGAATTATCAGCCAGGAATTAGTATGGCATTAAGTTATTGCAAAGCATTGTGATCCATCCAGTAAAACACACGGCTACAGACTGCGTGGGTTTCTTATACTTAGCTACATCCTCCTTCATCCTCACAGAGAAGTGATTTTGCACTGCTCATGAACCTCAAGGCTGCTAAATGACCTACTGTGTGCCCATCCATCTGTGGTAGCCCCCAGTTTTATACTATCTGGACCAACACTGATCTCAGGCAATCACCCTTCTTCCATCTCCTGTGCCTCTCCAGGAAAGGTGCCTGCTCCCTCTTCTGGCCCGACTTTGCTAGAGAAGGTGTTGACAAAGGAGGACACATTCTTTGTCATTCTACATTTTGAGCTGACCTTCTGCTGGAAGTGCCTAAAATCCTACTCCTGACAACATTTAACTCCAGGATTCATTTTGTCATCAGATAGGACAAGCCGGGGTAGAATGTGGTCCTAGTCAATCATGGTGCGAATTGGACCTGTCCTGAACCTCTCCCACTCCAATTCCAGACCGATGAATCTTACGTTCCCACTACGTCTTCAGGCAGGAACACGAGACCTGTGTAGACCAATGACTGTACCACCCAATTTTAATAAAATGTGATCAGTATGCTGAACATTAGACACAAAAGTAACAGCTTATCTTGGACCTATGACTTCATCACCAACACAAGTTAACCCGTCTTGTGATGATGGAAGTCTCTATAGCCCCCTCCCCAGGAGCATGGAATGCTGATATTAGCTGGCTCATTAGCAGCGATCCAGCAGGACTTCACAACCAAACCAATTAAGACCACACACAACTTCAGAACTCTTTGTTCTTGATTATCACTCTCACATTTTTTAAGCAATCAAAGCAAAATTCTCAATGCCTGTCTCCCCAGTACCTTCTATTGGATTTGCAATTGTTTAATTTGAGCGAAGTCAGTAGGTAACTTGAACACTATTAAAAATCCTATTAAAAGATGCTAGTTGCTACATTTTTCCCTTTCAGCTTTCATTTGGTAATTTAATGGTTCTATATCTTCCTCCTGTTTGTTTATGGACTGTTTCATTTGCTACCACCCTTATCCCTTTTTTCATTAGACTCTTCAAGGATTTAAGAGTACTAAGGTACCCAGGGCAATATTACTAAGCTCTTGATAAATATTGTTGAGGAGGATGATGCTTACATTTTTAATTTCCCCAGAACCCAGAATTTTGACTTGGCCAATATTTTTAATTTTAGGGCTTAGATCAGGCTGTCTTAACGGGGTTCTTGGTCAGGTCTCTTCACATTCCATCTGAAGCAAAGAATAAAAACCAAATTTCCTCTATTTGGTCCATTTTGGAAAAAAAAAAGGAAAAAATATTTGGCCTGAGAGGGCCATTTTGCCAATAAATATAGATTATTATCTTCTTAAGCAAACACTAACATTGGAAGAAAACATTAGAAGATGCATGCATTTCATTTCAAATTTAACATTTAAAATCGACCATCTCCATTTTGAGGACTGGTAACTGATTTGAAGGAGCACTTTGAGAATTTGATTTTGCAGCCCTTCCTAGGGCACCATGCAGATCCTCCCAAATACACCAGCCCTTGTCCTGTCCCTCCTCTGGATGGAAGCAGGCAATTTGATTTCCATCTAGCCATTCTCAGGGGGGTCATTTTTCAGTCCCAAATGAATGACCAAATAGGTAATCTCGGGGCATTTGAGGGAACAATTTCAGGGGGGATATCTGAGTTCTTTTTGTCATGAAATGGAATTTCCTCAGTGCTGGGTTAGCCCACAGGAAGCTTATGAATGTGTTTGTGACAGTTGACAGGCTGGCCTATAGTGAAGAAGTCCACACTTTAGCCACGGGACACTGATCAAGAAGGTGAGTCAGCTTCCACAGCCTTCCAGATTGACGGGCTTAGGGAAGCTCAGAGTAGAGAGTATCTCCAGACAGTTTGGTCATTGTGTCTCATGATGGCATCCACACACCCACAGTCCTGAAGATGATGCTACAAACCAAAGATGTCAGAGTCTAAGGAGCATGGCAGCCATTTAAGAATCTGCCTAGGTGCCTCGAGCAAACTCATTCATGTGTACTAAGTGGCTTCTCAGTCTATCCCCAAATAAAATCTATCCTCTAAGTGTTACAAACAAAAATTCAAAATAATCATAAAATAGTTTAACTATTTCATTACTCGGCTCAGAGTTCTGACGGTGAAGCAAAGTCCAGTTTTTTCTTCTCTCACATTCTAACTGGAACATGGTCTTTATCAAAGCATAGACACCATAGTGCACTGCGATTTGGGATAAAGCTTATCTGTCCACATTTTCTGATAAGGCAGGAATGTACTTTTCAAATCTCCTGAACATGGCCTTTCTCATCTGTCACCACTATATTTCTTCACCTTGCTTGCCAAGAAGGAAAAAATGCCATACCCTAGGACTTTTTTTTATGGGTTGACATCCCATTGGCTGTCGGTCCAGGGTCTCGCTCACCTAATGAGAAAGCAAGACACTGAACTTCCTATTAACCGCTCCCCTTGCTCACTCACCTCAGTGCCCTCTGAAAGTAGAACTCATCAGCTGGCCTACCAGTTACCCCTGCCACAGACACCGGCTTAAAATGTCCAGCACAAGATTTCAAAACTGTAAGGTTTAGCAGGGGAGAAGGGAGAGAGGAATATGGATCTGTTGCAGGGCATCAGCTTCCAATTTCTCCCCGGTCGAGGTAACTTCAGTTCAGCCCCTACCCACTCCAGCAGCAGCCTTGGTTGTGAGGTCTGCCGAGAGGTACTGCTAGCCCCTAGAGGAATTTCTGCAATGACGGAGCTTGTGGACGGAGCTTGTGGACGGAGTTCGGCCAGACTTGAACCTGAGATGACGTGCACAGGGCTAGAAACAGGTCTATTTTAATTTGTTTCTAAATAAGACTGTTGTCTTAGAAGGTTTGAAACTGTAGGTACCCTAATGGGTTTTGCCTTGAGAAGTGCTCCTGTGTAGCCCCTTTTTGTAGGAGGACCAAAAATCTGCCAGCAGGTTCTATTAGTTCTTTTTCCTCTCACCAGCTGAAAAAGAAAGAACCATTGGAAGTTCTAAATAACTGAAATAAAATCAGATTGGTTTATTGCTTCTGCTTGCATATAGACAGGAGAAAAGCAAGTCCAAGTGTCTGGTGTGGGTGACAGATGAGGGGGATGATGGGAGGGAGAAAGATGCCTCAAATCTGCTCTGAGTAATGGAAGGAGAGGGAGAAAGGGAGGCACCCCCTGGCTAAAATGAAATACATTTTCCAAAGGCCAGCTCTCCCCAGGTGGTAGAGATGGCCACCCTGCTAGGGCTCCCTCCTTACCCTCTCCTGCACTCCCAACCCAGTGTGGAAGGACAAGGAAGCTGAGCTAGAAGTATTTTCTATTAATGCCCCATCAATTTAAACACATTGACTTTGGAGCGTAGTTCTACCCATGCGTGAGGTTTTTCTCTATGAAGATATCCTGTTCATGGGCTCTGATTTGGAAAGAAAACAGATCACTTCACCGTCGCATACCTAAGTGAAAATTCAGCACAATTCATTGAGGTAACCCTCAGCTCAGCGCCCACCCTGCCCAGCCACTGGATTTATAAATCAGAGGTCAGGATAATGGTCGAGTCCCAAATTAACGAAAGCCACAGCCCGTCTTCTTAGATTTTGCCAGTCTCAGAATTTGCTCTTGCGTATAGATTCTGATTCTCTACGCTGATAGGCACAACCATCTCCGACAGGTCTGCAGAGAGATTCCAGGGAAAGAGCATGGCTAACTTCACCCACTTGGATCTTTAAGTGTACATTAGTTTGTACTTCCAAATCTGCTTCTGTTCTGGAGTGTATATGTTTACAAAGCTTATCGGAAAACTGGTCTAAAAGAACACATGCTTTAAGGAGCATTAAAAAGCGTGAAGTAAAAAGGAGGCCTTCAAACCTCAACAGCAACATTTTCCAGCACAGGCAAAGGATTTCTCTTTCTTTCAAAAGACGTTATTTTAGCCAGCTCTCAACAGTAATAGATAATGACAATGTGGGAGAAATGCAACTCACAAACAACCCCAAATCTCACTGGAAGCAGGCATTTCAGCTTCTTCCCTTACCTGACCTTTTCCCACCTGCTGTTATGGACTTATCTAAATTTCATCTCTTGATCCTTCCCTTGACCTCTCTTCTGGCAAATGGACTAATTAATAAATGGTCAAAAAGCTGAAGAAAGAAAAGAGGCCAAAATAAGCCCAAACTTGGATAACCTATGCCTGGAATAATGGCAAGTCAGCCCTGTAATAACTTCCAGATGATGAATCAGGACACTTTTTTTTTTTTCCTGACACCAGCAGGTGAACTGATGTCATTCTATTTGCCTCCCACTTCTTCCATCCAGAATCACTGATCTGCGCTGGGGCTGGTAAAAACAGCTGGTTGAAGTCTCTAGTCTTTGGCCATTCTTAGGGATGGTCATTTTATTCCTAAGCGTAACCCCTTCTGGTGTGACCCACGTGTTTTCTGCCAAATCCCCACAAAGAAGGCCAGGGGAAACTGTCTGGGTGGGACTTCTGATAGGGGACAGGAGAACCTTGGAATCTGTCACTGTGGATGAAGGGGGTGGGTGGTCCATAATGGGGAAAGGAGGACTGAATAAGATTAGGCTCTGAGGTCTTCCTGGCCTTGACCTGTGGAAAGGTTTAGAACCCCCTGATGGTCGCTCCATTTTTGAAGAAAGAACGTTGTCTCCGGATGGCTCTGTCTCTGATGTGCGCTTTCTGCATTGCACTGTTGCATCCTGGGTGGAGAGCAGGTTAGCCAAGACTGGTTCTGGAGGAAGGGCAGGTCCCTCACACATGTGGGATGTAGTGGTATCCACTGGCAAGGACTCAATGGCTCCTGTATCTTGCTTTGGTTTCTCTTCTTTGGGGCTTTCCAAGGAGAGAGAATCACCTCTGGCAGATTTCTGTGAGGTCCCACCAGTTGAGCTGGGTTCCTCTTGGCTCCTCTCCAGAGGCTGGACTCCACTATCCCCCGAACTCTGAGAGGGCAGGGGCTGTGGGATCTGTGTGTACTGAATCTTGGGTGGAATGACCGGGACCGCCCTAGCCTGGCACATTTTGACCATGAAGGAGGTTCTCACAGCTGACACACTCACAGGAGCTGAGTTACGGCGGCCTGTCAGGGTATGAGCAACAATGTCCAGGTCCTGCGGGTCCTGGGAGCAAATGCTCCACGGGTCTCCTTTACAGTGGGATGAGGTCATCCATGTGACTTTTGTGTCTCCTGGCTCAGAGAGCTGCGTTCCAGGTGAACCAAATGAGGCCACATTGTCAAACCGGAAGAGGTCAGTGATGGTAATGGCAGAGTCCAAATTGAGGGAAGAAGGCCTGTTTTTCCCTTTTGGAGGCCCACACTCAGGGCTCTTCAGCTGTAACTTTGGGGGATGCTCTCCACATGAGGTGCTGTCTTGCACACGAGGTGAACTCTCCTTGCTATTGTCTGGCCCAGGAACACTACCTTGCTCAATCTGAGGGCTGCTGTGCCCTTGGTGTGTCCCCAGTTCCTTTCCCTCTGCTAGTCTGACAGGGCTGATTTCTGTTGATTTGGGCTGCAAACCACCTGATCCCTTCTGGCTGGGAAAAGCCTCTGTCCCTTCTGGGCCAGAGAACTCTCTGAAGGACCTCAGGGTTTTCTCATCCCATCCAGTAATCTCTCTCCTGGGTGCCAGGGGCTGCAGAGGGTCGGAATTCCTCTCTGCTTCAAGGTTAGCACAGCTGCTGGAGGAGGGAGCCTCAAGAGTCCACTGGCTCTTAACCGTGGTGGTTTTGCTATCTAGAGAACGGCTCTGACGAAGGCTGGGCCTGTGGGGGAGCCTCTTCTCCAGTCGGTGGCCCTGGGGGCCCTGCACCTGGGCCTCTTGCACATCTTTCAGGGTGGGAGAGTGAAGGGGACTCGTTACCCACTGGGGCTCCTCCCAGGGCTCCACCATCTCCAGGCCCTGCTGGGCAATGTCTGTCACAGTTTCGTCTTCATCACAGTCTGAGGGCTCCTGCACTGAATGGGCTACATCCCCCTCTCCTTGTGGGGAGATCTCAACCTCTCTTGTTGGGCTTTGAAAACCAGAGACCTTTCCCTCAGGAGCAGCATTCTTTGAATTTTGCTCTTCACTTTGTCCTAGAGAGGCCTCCTCCTCCTCCTGACACAGGCTGGACTTGGACTTCAGCTGGTCTGTGTATGGATTTGTACTCAAATTCCTAGACGAGTCGTCTCTCTCAGGACTGCCCTTTGAAAGCTGGACTCGAGGTGCCTCCTCCAGGGGAGTTGGAGGAGGGGCAGCAGGCGGGAGAAGAGGGGACAGATTTCCTGGGCCTTCCTGGCCCACCTCTGCTTGTGCAGAAGCTGTCTCAAATGGAACAATTTCCAGAGGAGCCAAGCTGGTGGGGTCCGGACGCTTCTCGGGCTCGGGTCTCTGAAGGATGCTCATTGTCTCCGGCTTTTCTCTATTGGCTGCTGGGGAAGTCCCCTCTGCACTCTGATTGGTTAGATCCGTAGTCCCCTCCTCCGCAGGGGTGGAGCCTGGTGTTGGGCCGCAAGACCAGCTCCCAGGAGGCTCCCGGGAAGCGAAAGGCCCTGGACTGGACTCCAGAATTGGCTGAGTGGGGCTGACCTTTAGAGAAGGTGGTGGCAATGAGGAGAGCTCCTCCTCAGATTCGATGATCTTCAGCTCCTGTTGAATCTCGGGCCAGATCAGGGCATTGGCCAGATCATCTTCATCCTGAAAAACATCAAGAAACGGATTATTTTAGAGCCAAGGACCCGCGGCCTTGACAACGGCACCATTTCCCAGTGACAGTGAAGGGACGGGCGCCGGGCCAGGCTGCATTATCCCAGCAAATAAAGGCCACCACATTACTAATAATTGTGGACGTATTTTCAGGGCTTACCGCATGCCCCAACACATTCTAACTGCATGCTCTTGTTTAACTGTCCCAACAACTTAAAGAGATAAATACTACTATAATGACTCCCATTTTAGAGGTGAGGAGACCTATGTTCAAACAGATTTAACAATTTACCTAAGTCATACAGCAGCAGCCTGGGACTGAAATCCAGCTATGTCCACATCAGAACAGAAACACTTAATCCCTGCGCACTGTTGATTTATAAAACCAACCAACCCCTGGTCTCAGTTAACCTCAGGTTTACCAGATGGCACACAAGAATGAGATTCTCCCAGTGGAATGTAAATGTTAACTCTTGCCCTGACATTTGCTTTCCAAATAAATAAATACAGCTTTTCTTATTACTAAAGAAATACATACTTCCCATGGAGAAAAATATTTAACACATGTTAAAAGAAAGGAGAATACAAAAACAGCAAAACCTTATATTCCGACTACCCACAGATAACCTCTGTTGATCTAAAGGGGTGCCTCCTTCTCCATCTTGTTTGCTGCTCCTGGTCTCTCCTCAAATCTAGTTTCTCTTTGACTCCTCCCTTCCCCTACACAAAGCCCCAAACTGCAGACAGGAAAGGGATGAAAGGAGGCCCGGTCAGGGCCAGGGAAACATTTCAGTGGCCTTCATTTCTTGGCTCAAGACCTGTCTGTCCCAAGGAGCAGCAGTTCCAGGAGGCATATCCATCCTGTGCGGGGTGGGGGTGGGGGGGGCGGTTCAGGCCTTTATGAGAAACCTGACCTGCCGCCAACCTGACATCACTTCCCACCTGGCTCTCATCACATGTTTCATATTACAATTAATTTGATGCTTATTTTTCCCAATGGACTATGAGCTCCTTGAGGTAAGGAATTGTGTCTGTTCAACTTTGATTCCTCAAGGCCAAATGGTGCCTGGTATACTGTGAGTAGTTGTTCAATGAGAGGTTCTCTTTTGCAGTATTTCTATTTGATTGTTTCCTTCAGAGAACTCTCCAGGAGTAGGATTCCTTGGTCAAAAGGCAGGGATGTTTTTGAGATCTGATTCTACTGTATCACACTTGTGTCTATTTCCATTTCACCTTCAGGGCCGAGGCAGCCTTTTACTCATCTCTTTACTCTCCTCAGCACCTACACTAATTGATCTCTTACTAAGAAATCAATAAATTTAGATAAATAAATGAGCACGTAAACTCCCCTCCCCCACCATCTCAGTAAGTGGACCATAGTTACTTATTACATACTACATAGTTACATATTACTTTCTGCTCAGATCAGAAATCTATGAGGTGTCTTGACTCTTCCTTCTTCCTCTCTGATCCAATCCTTCACCAAGTCCTGTTCATTCTAGCTGTTGTGTGTGTGTGTGTGTGTGATAAATATTATTTCAGACACAGCTTTTTATTTATTTCATCTCATTTTATTTTACTGGGCTCCATGCCCAATGTGGGGCTTGAACTCACGACGCTGAGATTGAGTCACATGCCCTACTGACTGAGCCAGCCAGGAATCCCCCCAAAATATGGAACGCTTCACGAATTTGTGTGTCATCCTTGCACGGGGCCATGCTAATCTTCTCTGTATTGTTCCAATTTTAGTATATGTGCTGCCGAAGCAAGCACCATTCTAGTTTCTTTTTTTTTTAAAGATTTTATTTATTTATTTGACAGAGAGAGACACAGCGAGAGAGGGAACACAAGCAGGGGGAGTGGGAGAGGGAGAAGCAGGCTTCCCACAGAGCAGGGAGCCCAATGTGGGGCTCGATCCCAGGACCCTGGGATCATGACCTGAGCTGAAGGCAGACGCTTAACGACTGAGCCACCCAGGCGCCCCCATTCTAGTTTCTAAATAGCTCTTGAGGCCTTCCATTTCTATGCTTGTTGCCCCCACTCTCCTCCAAGCCACCATGTTTTCTTGCCTGGCCTGTCATATACTAGCCTTCTAACTGGCGTCCCTGTCTCCTCTCCTGCCTTTTCCAAGCCATTCTCCTCACAAAATAGTGACCTTTAAAGCATAAAATTGCAGGGGAGCCTGGGTGGCACTATTTATACTTGAGCTCCCCCCGCCCCAATTCAGTCCCTGTAAGAATCTCTGTATACCTTCTCTTTCTACAATTGCAAACAGCCCTCTTGAGGCTGCTACAGCACTCCCGCACTGCCTAACTCCCAGCACGTGGTTGTGAAGGTTGTCTCCTAAAGTCCCTTTGGCAGAAACTGGTTCTTCAAACAAACAAACAAAACCCCCCCAAATCCTTGCTTTCAGCTATACCAAGAGCCCTTGGGACAAAGAGAACTCTACTAGCTGAACCCAGCAGTGAGTCCATCTTACCATGTCATGGAGAAGCCCCGCTTGGACACTGGGGCTCTTCTGCAGAGTGCTGGGCTCCACCTGGCCAGCCTCTCGACTCTCCTCCTCTGCTTTCTCCGGGTCCAGCCTCTTCTCTAATTCACTTGAATGTTGAGAACCCGGGGAGGTTTCCAAGGCCTTCTTTTCCTCCTGTTGGGGGCCTGACTCCAGGGAGAGGTCTTTGTTGCATTCCACCGTCCTCACTGCCTCTGGTCCTGGCTTGGCATCCTCGAGAACCACCTTCTTAGGTATGGAAGCTGCAATGGATGAGAGTTAGCCATTGAAGACGTCATTTGCAGAGAGGCCTTGCCCCGCATAGTCACTGTCCTGGACTAGTCCCGCTTCACAAGGGTGGAGGGAATTCTCCCAGCTCACTGCCCCTCACATTTTCGACCCTTTCCCCCAGCCGTGTCCTGCCTTTAGTTCCCAGAGTTACAGATTGTCAGAGATGAGAGGGGTCTTGAAGATCCTCTAGGCCAGGGGCTCGCAACTGGGGACCACTTGCTCTTCCCCTCCCCAGGAGACGTTCGGGTGGGGACAAGGTGGTGATTGGCCTTTAGCGGGGCAGAAGCCAGGGATGCTACTAAATATCCTAAGAAGCATAAAATAGCCCCTGCCCCCAATAAAGAATTGCCCGGCCCACAATGTCAATAGTAACAAGTTGAAAAACCCTTTTCTAATCTTTTACTTCACAGAATCTGTGATTTACACCAAGCTACAAAGATGTGTTATGATTATGATTATGACTGACAGCTTCCTGTGTGACTCTTCCCCGGGGTTAACTCCACACCAATTCGGATATATCACAAGTGATATATATATATATATATCTATACCAGATATAGATATCTGGTCTTAAACATCCACCAAGGCATCGGAGAGGGAGGCAGACCCCAAGTTTGGCCTCTACTGCCTCCATGCAGCAGGTCCTACCTCATTGTATAACACTGTTTTCACGGGGTAGAGTGAGGACCAAATACCTAGGACAGGAACCGATCACACAAAAGCCTCTGGAAACACTTTTTCCTCAAAGGCTTCCCTTCCTCCTCTAGCCTTCACCCTGCTCCATCCCATCAACACCCCCCCCCCCAGAGCATTCTCCACCCAGGGCATCACTTGACGCCCCTGAGTTTTTGCTCATCTTCTGCCCCCTATCCTGAAGGGAAAGGGTGGAGAAAAAGACAAATACTTACTGAATATCGTCTGTGAGCCAGACCGTGAACAGGCATCTTAAGGACATTCCCTCCCTACCCCCCCCACCAGCTCAGAGATGTCAACCACTGTCCACCGTCACACAGCCCCAAAGTGCTGAAGTTAGCATTCGAATCAGCCCAGGTGAAGTCCAAAACCTACAGTCTTCCCACAATATTCAGCTGTCTCTCAGCCCAGAATGCCTTCCCCACCTTTTCTGTATGGAGAAAGCCTACCCATTTATGAAGGCCCACCCAAATGTCACCTCTTCTGGGAAGCCTTCCTAGAATCCTCCTGAGAGTACTGCCTCTTGTTGATGCCCTTGCATCAACACCATGAACACCTCTTTCATTATGTTTCAGGGACCGAAGTCCTCCCTCATTCAAAAAGCCCAGGGAGGAAGGGCGCCTGGGTCATGCAGTCGGTTAAGTGACTGACTCATATCATGAGCTCAGGGTCATGAGATCGAGCCCCACATCAGGCTCCATGCTGAGCTTGGAGTCTGCTTGAGATTCTCTCTCCTTCTCCCTCTGCCCCTCCCCTTTGTGCTCTCTTGTTTTCTCTAAAAATAAATTAAAAATCTCTTTAAAAAAAAAAAAAAGCCCAAGGAGAGTCTTATGCTACTTCTGCAGGCTGACCCTCTGCTGCACTTTGGTATGGTTTTAGTTTCTCTTCTTAGTTCATGAACTCGCTGGGCGCAAGGATCGTGTTCTAACAATCTCTGTAACTCCACAGCCCCTTGTAAACATGTGAAGGTGCATGATGGAGTGTTTTAAAGCAGGGGTTTTAAAATCTGGATTAAAATCCTGGTTCTGGGGTACCTGGGTGGCTCAGTCATTAAGTGTCTGCCTTTGGCTCAGGTCATGATCCCAGGGTCCTGGGATCGAGCCCCACATCGGGCTCCCTGCTTGGCGGGAAGCCTGCTTGCTTCTCCCTCTCCCACTTCCCCTGCTTGTGTTCCCTCTCTCGCTGTGTCTCTCTCTGTCAAATAAAAAAATAAAATCTTTACAAAATTCAAAATAAAATAAAATAAAATCCTGGTTCTTCCACTTCCTTGCTCTGAGTCATCTGGCAAGTTAACGGATTTCCTCTCTAAGCAAATGGGGATAATAATAACTACCTACACCTCACAGGGCTGTTGCGAGGAGAATGGAGATAATACATATAGAACACTTAGGACAGTGCCTGATACCATAACAGTTGTTCAAAAAAAGTTAGCTAATATTAATAATGAAAATATGCTTAAACCACACTGAGCATTTGTTGGTGTGTCTGTCAGTCATCCTTTCCTTTGAGGTTCTCCCTACTTCTGTTTTATGTGGCTCACAGTTGGCTGTTGACCATAGAACCCCTTCTAACTCCAGAGATGGTTCAGAGACTCGGGCTTAACCAATCTTAGAACCCTAAGTGCCTGGCAACCATGATTGGTCCAAGGCTGGGCATGTGACCCAAGCAGGCCCAGTCAGAGTCTTCCCTGCATTTGATATATGGAAATTGGGAGCAAGATACCCCTTCTCATTGCTAGGGTTGCTAGCCATGTTCTCTGCAGATATGAGGTAGAAGGGAGGGAGGGATGGATGGAGAGAGGCTGAGTCTAGAAGAGTTGAATTCCTTGAGCTTTTTTTCCTGTCTTCTCAGTATATGGGTGAATAAAAGAATAGGCAACATTTACTGAGTACTTACTATGTATTACTCACTGTTCTGTTAGCTTCACGTGTATTGACTAACTTAATATTCCCAGCAAACTTATGAAGAAGATAGGATTAGGAACATCATTCCCATTTTATAGCTCAAGCAGGTGAGGCACGCAGCTGCTAAAGGTCATACAGTGAAATGGCTGAGACTAGACTGGGGCAATTTGGCTCCAGAGCCCATAGTGTTAACCACTTCACTGCACTGTCTTGCAAACTCTGTTTAAACACGTTTACATCTGTTTTTTAATCACTTGCAATGAAAAGAAACCCTCCCTCCCCTGCTTTACCTGTAGAGGACTCAGCTCCCAGCGGCTTGTCGTCTTCGGGCCAACCTCCACTCTCTGACCCCTGGAAAGAAAACTCCTCCAGGCTGGAAAGCGACTGGAGCTCCTTTGGGGGTGTTCTGCACGGGGTGCTGTTGGTGCTGATGACAGCTGACACGCGCAGCGGCACTGACACGGCAAAGGGCTCGGAGATGTTCAGGGCCTTGCGCTGGTGGCGGGGAGAGGGCTCCATCTGGAAGAGACTGCTGGTAAAGACAGATTTGCTGGGGCTGTCGTTCGAGGTGTAGAACATACCCAGCATCTTCGGGGCTGTTTGCTCGCTCTCCGGATCCTCGAGCGGCCGGAACACCTTCAGCTGCTCAGGTGGGGGCCGGGCCTGGGCGCCCTGAAGTTGGCTTCGGTCACTGCTCGTGTCGAAGCCCCCCTCCGCCCCCGCCGGCATCCCCTCCTGGCCCCATTCGCCCTCCTGCTTGCTGAGGTCACATGAGCTGCCAGTGTTGGTCGAATGCAATTTTGCCGCTGGGATGAAGAATCCACCAGTGGTGACTGTTCGATTAAAATTTCCTTTGGTTTCTTTCCCTAGTGAGAAAGCAAACGCACACACAGTCAGCAGCCCGGGCGCCCACACCATGACACAGCCTTCCAGTAAGGGATGGTGCCCAACACCTGAGCACTGGAAAGGCAAAGCATTGTAGTAAGGGCATAGCCCTCTTAAGAGAGACAGATAACATTTGGTTGACGAGAGAGTAAGAATATTCTCATGTCCACAGAATGTTGGCAGGATGCCGTCGTATGCATGCATCTGTTTTAAACTCTGCAGGGGGAGCAGTTTCCAAAAGGCTAAGGGTGCTAGACAGAGCTGTCGTCCACCCAGCAGTAAATGTAGATCAAGAAAAAATAAAAAGATGCCGGATAGCAGAATGATGTTTGCTCAAAATGAAGGAGAAGACAAAAAGGGCAAAATAACAGAATTTTGTTTTACTTTAAAACTTGAAAAATGTGTTGTTTCAAGCCCCCTCTGGCAGATGGACCCAAACAGGGGTTCGATTTCCCAGCAAGGAGACAAATGCTGTTCTCAGCGAGACCTTTCTCCCTTTTCCCAGGCTTCCTGCTGCTGATTCAGGGGGTGAGAAACTAGAAATGTAAATTAACTAAAAGTTAGAAAGCCCAGTTGTGAGGAGCAAGTTCCCAACGGACTTAAAAGTGAAAGCAAAGAGGAGAAAAATCCAGATGGGAAATAGACAAGCTGCGAGATAACACATGAGTTGCCTGGGATCGGGAGAAAAACTCCCCACGAGGTACTAAGGGCTCTGCTGGGCATCTTCTGTAACCTTAGGTTTAAAATTCCCAGGCTGCTTATGGAGGAGAAGTGTAATGATCTCCTTTAACACGCGAGGAAACCGAGACTCGGAGCGGCAGAGAACCTGCCCAGTGCCCATCGACGTGAAGAACAGTGCAAATTCAAGACACATACGAATCTAGGCACCAAAGCAGGAGGTAAAAACCAGTGCTCAGCTCTTCTTTATGCCCAATGGGGAGGCCTCGTCTGCCTTGGTTCTCAGGTGTTGCCCTTTTTCCCGATTCAGATTTGCGTGTACAATGGCTGCCAGTTCCAGGTGTGGTTACACTTGAGGCCAAGACTTGTGGTGTAATGTGGGGAGGGGGGAGGTGGTTAATGCAAGAGCCGTGTGAACCCGTTGGGTTCAGGAAGGTCAGGGGGGATTGTGACGAGACCAGAAGGCAGGTAGCTTCTGAAGGCAGGTCTGGTACAGGAGCTCCTGTCTCCCGGTGGTAATCCCCAGTTCCGAAAGCGGCTGTGAGAACTCACCTTCCACAGGCACTGAGCACAGTGAGTCCATGCTTTTAGCCGGTCGGATAGTAGCCTTTTCCACTAAAGACAAAAGAAAAAATATCCCTGATGAATGCATATTAAGAGGAAGCATTCAGAACAAAAGTCAGGCTGTAAGGACACAAGAGAACGTTCTGTAGTAAAGTTTTTCAAGTATTTATAATTTTCCCCTTTGGAAAACATTCCTCCATTCCACCCTGGATGCTCGTACTTTCATAATGGGACTGAGCTTATAAAAACAGGGCATTTCTAGATCAAAGTTTCATGAATATTTTACAGATAAAGGTAAATTCCAATTTTGTCAAACAGCTGTTAGCAAATGAGGAGCCCTGAACCAAATTTTATGATACAAAGATTCATCCGGGGGGTACAGTCCATGAGGCTCAAGGCAATCCCCCCTATCTTGCAGGCTGGAGAGCAGGATTCTTGGCTGCAGCCGCAACTGACAGCATCCAGGAACTTGGTACAGCAAGGGAGGGGGGCCCAGGGACGGAAGGCCCCCTTCTCCCACGTGCAGCTCTACTCCTGAGGTCTGTGGGCTGGTTGCTCCTCCAAATGGTCTCACCCTGGAGTAGATCCAAACCAAACAAACCTTTTTTGAGCACCTACTATGCGCCTGGTGTCCTCTGTGCACCTTGATAAGCCACCTCGGCAGCTTTGGGGAAGAGTGTGGCTTAAATAAATAAACACTTATTCCAGGCACGGCATTAGGCACTTCAAAATATCGCTTCTTCTCAGGGAGCTGAGGTGGCTGAAAGGCGGTTCCTCCTAGTGAGCTTGCCAAGAGGGGAGTGAGGGCAGTCTGGGAGCTGAGTGGGAGCCTTGGTTTTCCAGAGGCTGTATTTCTGGACTTCCTCTGGGTCTCATGTGTCAGCCTTGAGGGCTGTGACCTGATGACACCAAGTGTCATGATGAAGGATGGGCGAAAGTTCTCTCTGCACGGCCACCAGTGTTCACCTTTCACGTTGGACCCTCTTTCGGACGATGCGGCTTTTTGTGGCCTTGGTGGCCACAGCAGCTGCTTTTGGGAACAGTCCCCAAGGACTCCCTGGCTCCATTTAAGTAACTGAGCACTCAGGGCTCCTTGGCCCAGGACTATATTTAGCTCATAGGTTTCTGTCTGGGACCTTGTCCTGGCCTCGTGGAGGTACATCTCCCAGTTTTCCGGCAGCTTTGGGGTCCTCAAGTCCCCTCTCTTAGATTATCCCTATGGCTTTGGGACTTCCCTGCAGAAAGGCGTTTACTTTGGAGAGTTCCCTGGACTCTCCCTGTGGGATAATGCATCAATTCCAGTACATCCCCTTCATCTGCCCCCGTCCAAAAAAATCCCCAGTGCTATACATGGTGAATCAATTTTTAAAATTCCCTTTAGTGGGGCGCCTGAGTGGCTCAGTCGTTAAGCGTCTGCCTTCGGCTCAGGTCATGATCCCAGGGTCCTGGGATCGAGCCCTGCATCGGGCTCCCTGCTCAGCGGGAAGCCTGCTTCTCCCTCTCCCACTCCCCCTGCTTGTGTTCCCTCTCTCGCTGTGTCTCTCTCTGTCAAATAAATAAATAAAATCTTTAAAAAAAAATTCCCTTTAGTTATGGAGTTTAGAAAAGATTTTAAAAATTATTTAAATATGTTAATCCACTGACTCACTTTTTTCAAATGCATATTTCCACAAATAGTGAGTTCGTGTCACTTACAGACACCATGCTGGCAGATGTGACCACAAGTGGGCCCCAACCCTGGTCTTTAGTTTTGAGGGTCCCAGCAACACTCCTCTGGTGCAAAGTGGGCACTTAGGACCCCTGGTCAAGGTCAGAGAGTCACTTGTACTGGCACTGATGGCTCTTTCATTTCACCTCCGCATCCCATCAAAATTCAGCCATCCCAGTGATCTGTCTCTGATTAGTTTGTTCATGAGGCCTTAGACCAGTGGCTTCCATCCCTGGCTGCATTTCAGAATCACCTGGGGAACTTTCTAAAAATGACCAAGACTCTGGCTTCCCCACAGACCTCCTGAGGCAAAACTGCTATGGGTGTGAGCCTCTGAGGTGCAGCCAGGCTGAGACCCCCTGGCCAGGGACATCCTGTGCATTCTGTGAGTAGACTACCATTTGATCCAGCACCTTGGACTTCTTCCTTTTGAAAACCACATGGCGGGGGTGGGTGTGGGGGTGGGGGTGTTGGAAATCTTCCTAAGGCAAGATCAAAGCAGATCATTTATTTCATTGTTTTGCTCTATTGTTTTGGACTTTTTGTTACGTGGTAAACTTCTTTCATTGTATCACCGATTCTGTAACTGAAATGCTCTTTGATGTGCTTAAGCAAATCTCTTTATTATTAGATCAGGAGTTTCTTGCCAGGTACTCTTCCCCTCAAATTCTCCTTTGAGAATCCTAATTTCTGATTTGTATCTGATCTAGCATACCTGCGGCAGCCTGCCCTCTTCACCTGAGATACTTCCAGTTGGTGAAAGCCATGTTTCCTCATACAGTGAAGGCTGTAGATGCCTGCCCAGAATCAGTTCCCTTCCTCCTTCTCACAGAACCCCTGTACTTCTTGGGTGCATCCCATTCCTTATGCCAGTGATTGGTTTAAGAAGCCAGGCCTAAGCCAGTCAGCACAGGGCACTCCCTTGGCCATAGGGATTGATCCATATGACTCAGTGAAGACAACTGAGATGGGGGTGGGTTGGGGGGTGTTTCTGATGGGTGGCTGCTGGGAAAGAAGAGTCCCTGCTCTGAGGAGCAAGCTACCAGAAGTGATGTTCTTTCTCCTTCTGGACGTAGTGATAGTCAAAGGTAAAGCCTAGAAGTACTATAGCCACTTTGTTGCGGCAAAGAAGCCAGACTGGGGGTGAAGCTGACCCAAGAGCTGAGGAAAACAGGGGACTGGAGACAGAACCACTGTGTTAAACCCTGAAGCCTCCCCTACATCTGGGTATCCAGTTACAGAGCCCAGTAAGTTCCCTCACTGCATAAGCCAGTTGAATTGGATGTACTCTTATTTCCAGTCACTGGACCTGCTGTACCCCGTAACATGCCTCATTACTCCAGGAGGCACATGTGAAGGCTTCTAACATCTGTCTTTGGCACACAGTTATCACTGGCTTCAAGGAAAGTCCTTCAAAATATTTTCTCTCATTTTTCCTATAAGCATTCATTTTCCCCCAAAATCTTTATTACTAAAAACTTCAGGGGCACCTGGGTGGTGTAGTCAGTTAAGAGTTGGACTCTTGGTTTCTGCTTAGGTCATGATCTCCAGGTCATGGGATGGTTCCCTGCATTTGCTTGAGACCCTCTCCCTCCCCCCACCCCACTCGTGTGTGCGCTCCCTCTCTCTCTCCAAAAAAAACTTTAAAAAAAAAAAAAGAAACCTTCAACCATTCACAAAATTGGGAGACCTCTAAACCTACCACCCAAGCTGACCTTTGCCATATATTTGCTTTCTCTATTTCTGTATCTGTATGTCCCTACATACTTAAAATTTGCTGAATCATATGAAAGTGAGTTTCAATATTTTGACCCTTCATCTTTACATACTTCAACCTTGGGGTGCCAGGTGGCTCAGTTGGTTAAGTGTCTGACTTCAGCTCGGGTCATGATCCTGGGGTCCTGGGGTTGAGCCCCACATCGGGCTCCTCGCTCAGCAGGGAGCCTGCTTCTCCCTCTGCCCCTCACCCCGCTCGTGCTCTCTCTCTCTCTCTCAAATAAATAAATAAAATATTAAAAATAATAAATAAATAAATAAATAAATACTTCAACCTTAGCATATGCCTCCTAAGAACCATTAGCACCCTATGAAAATTTACAATTCCTTAATTTCATCTAATAACTTACCTGTCCCCAAAATTATCATTTGTAGCCCCTTTTTTCAAAGGATCCAATCAAAGTTTGCTCATTGCATTTGTACATTTACCTTTTACAGCTCGTTTTCATAACGCTTGCCCCCCATTTAAAAAAAAAAATCGAGACTTTCAGTCTATCACACTATAAAGGTCATTGTGGCAGATTTCTCTGGACTTCCCTTTATGACAGTACTCAGCTGGATTGGTTATATTCCCCATTGTACCGTGATTACCTCAGTTCCTTCCTGCACCAATTCCCATTAATTATTCAGATATCATTCCCATAATACAACACTCCTATTTAAAAATTATAACCCTGGCATGAGTCATGGGGGAGAAGGGACAGATCTTCCTTATAATACAGTTCAATTAATCAATGTAGAAGGAATGATGGAAACAGAAAATGACCATTTGGCAAACACCACAGTAATAACTGTTGTAATAACAGTAATAACTTTTGGGGCGCCTGGGTGGCTCAATCAGTTCAGCGTCTGCCTTTGGCTCAGGTCATGATCCCAGGGTCCTGGGATGGAGCCCTGAGTCAGGCTCCCTGCTCAACGGAGAGCCTGCTTCTCCCTCTCCCTCTGCTGCTCCCCCTGCTTGTGTTCTCTCTCTCTCAAATAAAGAAATAAAATCTTAAAAAAAAAATAACAGCAGTAACTTTTACAGGCAAGAATCATTGATGGATGCTAAAATTCAGGGATGAAAGTATAATGAGAAACAGGATATTTTCATAGTCTCAAAGTATCTCCCACAATATACTTGTTAAGCAAAAGGAAAAAATAGTAACTTTACATGGACAAGCACTTTAAGCAAGTGACCAAAGTTAACGTCACCAGCAATAAGATATTGACATCATGTGCCTCCTGATATGACACGCTGAGACAGGCACAACATTCATCACCTCAATCGAATCATGAAAAAACATCAGATAAACCCAGGCTGAAGTACAGTCTACAAAATAAATGGCCATACTCTTCCAAAGTGTCATGGTCAGAACCACTGAGGAAATGTCCTAGACTGGAGGAGATTAAGGAGGCATGACAACTGAATGCAATGTGTATTCCTGGACCAGAAAAAGGATATTAGTTGGACAATTGGTCAATTATGAATAAGGTCTGTAAATTATTTAATAGTATTATATTGATGTTAATTTTTTGGCTTGGCTCGTTGTATTACGGTTAACATCAAACGGAGCTGCGTGAAGGGTACAAGGGTTCTCTGTGTACTATTTGCAACTTTTTTTGTAAATCTAAAATTATTTTTTTAAAAAACACTCCCTAGTTAATCTTTAAGTTTATGTTTCAGGTCTAGTGAGTTTGACATGATCAAACCAAAGACCTAAGAAGCAGAGATGGGTGGGGGGAATATATATATGATAAATAAATATTTATAAAATAGAAAACCTATTGGTCTCTGTCCATGTTTCAGGAGCACAGGGCTGCTAAAACCCTTGTAACTTCCTGGGTGATAAGAGTGTCTTTTGTTCTAATGAGGCCACTCTGGGTAGGTTCCTGGATGGCTCCTGGATAGGGGCTAGTCACCAGAAAGACCAAGCCATGACTGGAAACTTGGAATTTTCAATCTCACCCCCTAGTCTCTTGAGAAGGGAGAAGGGCTGAAAATGGAGTTTATGATTGATTATGCCTATGTGATAACCTTCCATAAAATCCCAATAGTATGGGGTTCAGAGAGTCTCCAGATAAGCAAAAACATCAGGAGGGTGACGCACCCCAACTCTATAGAGGAGACAGAAGCTCCTGTGCTCAGGACTCTCCCAGACCTCACTTATATATCTCTTCAACTGGCTGTTCATCTGTGTCCTTCATCATACCGTTCCAACTGGTCAACATAATGAAGTGTTTCCCTCAATTCTGTGAGCCGCTCTAGCAAATTAATCAAACCCAAGGAGGGGATCTTTAGAACCTCCCATCTATAGGTGGTTGGTCAGGAGCTTAGGTAACAACTAGGCCTGTGACTGGCACCTGAAGGGGTGGGGGGCAGTCTTGTGGGAATGAGCCCTTAACCTGTGGGACCTGATGCTGTCGCCGGATAGACAGTGTCAGAATTGAGCTAAGTTGTAGAACACCCCGTGGTGTAGCACAGAAAAACCTCCACACGTTTGGTGACCAGGAGTGTCAGAAGTGAGGTGTTCTGTGTAGGTAGTGAGGAGCACACAGGAGAGAAACAGTAAGGAAGAACTGGGTTTTTCCCTATGCAGGAGGTGGATTGAACGGAGTTTTTCTTTCTTTTTTTTTTTTTAAAGATTTTATTTATTTATTTGAGAGAGAAAGAATGAGAGATAGAGAGCACAAGAGGGAAGAGGGTCAGAGGGAGAAGCAGACTCCCTGCTGAGCAGGGAGCCCGATATGGGACTCGATCCCGGGACTCCAGGATCATGACCCAAGCCGAAGGCAGTCGCTTAACCAACTGAGCCACCCAGGCGCCCTGAACGGAGTTTTTCTAATACGATATACATCTCATAAAACATAACTGCTAGTGATTCTTACCTGAGAGCCTCTGTCCTCTCACAAATACACTCCCGTTTCTACTCAGCTTTGATTTGGAGTCTGATCCAGAACGTCCCAGGTTAAATATTGATTTCCACTTCTTCGATTTACTGGAGAGCTTTCTTCTAAAAGAGCCAAGCCATAATAAAGGGTTAGTTTGGTGACTGGTCATTTCAGTGGGACCTTTACATTGAGAGGCAATACCCCAGTCATGTTCTTGGTTATGAATGGCTCTGACATTTCGGGAAATTCCTCTCTAAAATTCAGTTTGAGCCCGAGTCTGGTCCTATCTGGGGATGCCCTGGACGACCAAGCTAGGCTTTCATATTCCTCAGGGGAAGGGGCAAAGGTGTGCTATTAAAGGCAGGTGTGAGGGCAGACAGAAGCAAGATGGGTGGGAGACTCGGAGGTCACAAGCAAGCACACAGTTCTGGTAATTCTGGTAGGAATTCTGGTAAGCACCGCAGTCCTGGGTTTTCAAAGACATCTATTTTTTTTTTTTTTTTTGCAGGAGTAAACACTAAAGACCAAAGAACTCAGTGCCGATATGCCCCCTGCACTTTGACCATCCTGCTGGGTCATCCGCAGGTAAGGAAAGGGCTGGCGAAGACTTCCGTGGACTGACAAAGGGGTGGATGAGAAAGTGACTTGGCAAAGAGTCTGGCCTGGCAGAGTCAGAGGCTGCTGGGTGTGGCCAAAGGTCACTGCAGAGAAAGACAGAGGGTAATTAGTGGGTCTCTGGCTTCACTCTCATTTCCCTGATGCCTCTCGCCAGGCTGCCTCAGTAGGAGGCAAGAAAAGGAGAGTGCTAGACTGGGTCCGGAGCGCCTGGGGCCACCAGAGGTCACCGGAGGCCTTGCCCCACTCTGGCTCGCCCAGCTATCAGACTTGATGAAACCTTCCAACTTGTGGGTTCCACAAAGGACCTTTTCTCCACAGGGTTCTCACAGAACACCCAGATCTCAAGCCCAACATGTTTTTACAATCAATCAGAGATAGATCTGCAATGCTTGGTGGTTTCTTTCTTTCTTTTTTTTTTTTAAAGATTTTATTTACTTATTTGAGAGAGAGAGAATGAGAGATAGAGAGCACAAGAGGGAAGAGAGTCAGAGGGAGAAGCAGACTCCCCGCTGAGCAGGGAGCCCGATGCGGGACTCGATCCCAGGACTCCAGGATCATGACCTGAGCCGAAGGCAGTCGCCCAACCAACTGAGCCACCCAGGCACCGTTTTTTTTTTTTTTTTTTGCAATGCTTGGTGGTTTCTTTTGAATCTGGCCCAGTTTTTTCCAAGCACTTGGCCTGGGATGTATTTTATAGGCTTGTGTACATTGGGGTATGGTCCACCCCAAGTGTCGCTAAGGCACAGAGAAAATGCACTTGATGGTCCAGCTGGGGTACTCTTCTTTCTGATCCCTGGGTGGAAGTCTTATTCTCCAGGGATTTAGGGAGTGAAGTAATGGGGCTCAGTCTAGAGAGAGCATGATCCATGTACTTCAGGAAACGGAAGGGTTTCTTGCCAGGTGAGGTCTACGTGTGCCATTCCCATAATGCATATATATGCACTGTGACAGACACCCCTACTGGTGTGTAACGTGGCAGCACTCCTCCTCCCTCCCCAGAGGGAAATAGTCCCACCATCTTGGGGATCATGCTGATAAGAAGACTGAGGTGCCTCTTTTCACACCTCTTTCTATTGACCAAACATTGAGGATGACAGTCTCCCGTGAAAAGTTTGCCTTCCAGCCCCACCACCCACTGTCTGCCTGGAGTTTGGGACTCCTCTCAATCACTGTTGACTTTTTAGAGTGGGCTGTGAAGCTGAGAAGGAAAGGGGGCTGAGTGGAGACCAGGGTTCCAACAGAGAAAGCAACAAAGAAAGAAAATATCCTATGAATAAAACTGATGTTCAGTTTGGTTTTGGAGATGAAGGAGGGCCCTGACGGGTATGGAAGGAGGAATGGAAGCCAGGCAAGCGTGTCCCCATGCCGCCTGCCCAGAGCTCTTGGTCTAGAGTGGCACTTCTTGTCAGCTTATCCTCCATTCGTCTCTATGCCTTTTATAACGTCATCTGGAGGTGGAGGCTGGTGGGAGGGGGTCAAGTCGTTGATTGCAGCAAACTTCCTTCTGAAAATGTCAAGACTGTTTTGTCTAAACTAAGGAGTCAGGGATTTTAGCCATGACTCTTGACCCCTATGAGCCCCACCCCCATCATGGTACTTAGGGATCTCTGGTGGGAGAGGGTCTTGATAACTTGGCGGCAGGGAGGGAAGACATCAATCACCAGTGAGAGAGAGCTGTGGAGACAGCTCCCTTCTCTTCTGGAATGTTCCCTCACATCCCAACCCAGCCTGTACCCCCAACCCATGCTGTCATTGTGACCCTGAGACTGTATAACTACTTCCTCTGTCCCCCTCCACCCAAATGTTCCCCAGAATTTAAGAGAATGCTGCTTACTTGTTGTCTGGTAACTCAAGAACAGTGTGGAAGAGGGTGCCCATGGGAGGGACAATTTCAGGCAAGCTGTTCTCCCTCCTTTCCTTCCGAGCAGGATGGTTAGTAGCCAGGCTCCGGGCCTGAGCTTCCTCTAGGCTCACCAGCTTCATGGGCAAGGAGAGGGCTGGCAAGGTCAGGCTCTTGGTGATGGGTGGGTTTTCTATACAAAAAAGAAAAGAGCTCAGTCATGGAAGGAGGCCTGTGCATCAGGTGTAGCCAGATTCCTCATCCACAGCGCCTCCATTCCTGACCCCCTGACAGGAGGCTTCTGGGGGGTTGGGGGGTTGGGGGCAGAGGCTGAACATAGGAAACTGACAACCTCATGGCCAGACAGCCAGCAGGCATGTAGGGCTTCAGGAGGTAACCTGTACTTCTTGTACTTTTCAGAAAGGGGCCCTCCCTCTCTCCCCCGCCTTCTCCCTCCCTTTCTTCTTCCTCCTTTCTTTCCTTCCTTCCTTCCTTCCTTCCTTCCTAGGACATTTATTGAGCATTTACTGCCTAGTACTTTGGCCAGGTTGGAATGCATGTCCAGCCACAGACGTGGCCTCCCTCAGCCAGAACAAGGCAGGAGGCCGTTCCTACTCTCTGCCGCCACAGAACACACACTCCAAGACGATTTAACGTGGGAGCCTATACTTTCCCTAGATCACTAAGGTTTATATCCCTGCAGTGAAAAGACATTTTATGGCCTACACTATTCCCTAAAAGATAGCTAGCTTTTTACTCACTACTCAGTGGCGTTAAGTGTATGCAAGCTAATCTTTTCTTTCTAGGGTTTTGGGTTTTATTTTGTTTTTTGTTTTTGTTTTTATTTTTTGTTTAAAGAAATGGAAGTGATGATGATAGATCAATGGTGTCCAAGGGTATCTCTTTTCTCCAAATCATTGGTTCTCAACTTGGGGCAATTTTGCAGCCCCCACCCTCCCCCCTTCCCCAGGGACACTTGGCAGTGTCTGGAGACATTTTTGGTTGTCATAAGCATGTGTGGGAGTACTACTGGCATCTAGTGGGTAGAGGCCAAGGTTGCTGCTAACCATCCTACAATGCACAGCACATGAATGCACACCACAACAAGAATTCTCCGGCACTAGCACATGGGGATATGCTAATGGTGGGCCCTTCTCTGTGGGCCTCTCATAGTGGACCCATGCCAGAGGAGCGGGCAGCCCCGAACCATTGCCCAACCTCCTCACTGGTGAGCTGTGAGCGCTGAAGGGGGCTGTCCAGTGTGGAAAAATAAAAAGGGAAAAAAAACCCAACCACACACACAAACAAAAAAACCAAAAAAAACCTATCCGGCACAAAACGTCAATAGTGCCAAGATTGAGAAACCTTGATCTAAGTAAAAGAAGAGGAGGTCCAAGTTGGCCTCTGTGTAGCCTCTGGCAACCTTGCCAGTTTTCTGTAACTTCAGAAGGTGTGAAGAGACTCAAAGATTACTTGGACCAACTGAAACTAAAGCCATCTGTTTTTGTACAGGACTCACCTAATTTTCAGAAAGCACCTTGACGGCACCATTTCTGTTTGCAGAGCATGACCCTCTCTGGGAGGAGGGAAATAAAACCACTGAACAAGGGCCTTGTAGAAAACAGAGACGGTGGGCAATACTGGGGTTCTTCCAGGCAGGAGAGCATATGGCAGTCACTCGGCAGGACTGCAATTAAGTAAATCCGCGATCCTGAAATCTTTTCAGTAAAGTTTCCAACTTTAACCCAGTTTTCCAACTTAATCCCAAGGATTTTAAAATATTTAAATTTTATATACTCTTAATATTTGCATTCTAGATTATTTATGATTTGTTAATTATTTATTTACTTAAGAAATTCAGTCATTCTGGGAGCAACTGGATCAATGGGAAGAACCTACACTGTAGGGTCAGGAGACCTCAGTTGGTATAGCACTTACCCCTGGTTTCAGGCTGCAGTATCCTAAGGCCTGCTCATTGTCTCTGCTTAGATGTTTAACAGGTATCTCTAACTTATTTCATAACAGAGCTTGTGATTGCTGCTCTTCACCTCTAAACTGCTACCTTCTCCCATCTTCGTCAAGTCAGTAAATGGCACCACGGACCACCCAGCTGTAAGCCGAAAACTGGAAGAGTTCTTTTTCATTCATTCATTCCTTTTTTTTTTTTTTTTGATGCACCACCGCCTCCCACATCCAGCCCATAAGCAAGTCCTATGATTCTTACCTCCAAAATGCATCCTGAATCCCGCCACCTTCCTTCCACCCACTGCTAACATGCTAGTCCAGGCCACCGTGATTGCCCACCTGATTTCTGCCATTGCTCCTTCGCTGGTCTCCCTGCTTCCAGACTTGCTGCCTTTCCATCTCTCCTTCACACCACTGTCAGAGTGCTCAGACCCTGCACTCCCTGCTCCAAATCCTCAAACACTTTCCCATGGCCCTGAGAACAAACCAAACTCCTAGCTTGACCTTCCATCGGCTTTCCTTCTCCTCTTTGCCCACTGACCCAGTGGTCTACAAAAATATACAATAAAAATTTTTTGAATGCATATTCTCATTGTAAATTATACACATATACACATGTGTAAATTACACACACATACCACTGTATTATATATAATTATATATAATTTCTGTCATATATAACAGAAAACATACAAAATCATAGAAATTACAAAATATACAATAGAAAGAAATGAAAAAGAAATGCTAATAGTTTCTTCCAACACCTGTGGCTTGGTACTTCAGTCCTCGGTGCCCCCTAGGGTGGCGCACCCCACTTTGGAGACCCCACTGGCTCTAGCCACATTGGCCTACTTTCTGTACCACTATGAGCCCCTTTCCACTTCAGAGCTTTTATAATCTCTGTTCTCTGTATTTGGAACATTCATCCCCCAGATCCTCACATGACTGGTTTCTTTTGTCGAAAGGTCTCTCAGTTCAAAGATCACTTCCTCAGAGACCATGGCCACTCGGTACCAAAATAACACCACCAAATCATTGACCATTGCATTCACCTGCTGTGTTTTCTTCACAGTATTGTCTTTGAAGTGATAATGTATTTATTTGTAATCTTGTATATTGCCTGCCTTCCCAACCCAACCATAGCTATCTGCAGGGCAGGATCTTTGCCATTTTGCACACTGTTGTGTCCACAGTGTGTAGAGTAGGGCCTGGCACCTAGAAGTTGTGCAATGCATATTTATGTTTTAATGAATCTTGGGTACATCACAATCTCTCTGGCCTTATTGCTCTCATTTATTAAACAAAAGTATTGGATTCCATGACTACTAAAATCTTTCCAATTTGAAATAGAGCCCTATTTCCAAATCTAAAATTCCAGAGGGTGTGGCTTCTTCCATTTTGTGTAAACATTAACTATGCTATCTTACCAAAGTCAATACAAATTCACGACAAGAACCTTTAAATGAAATGCACTGTATAATAAGCACTAGAGGCAATCAAGAGTTAAAGGCTCACAAGTAAACTGGATTTCAATATACGGTACAAAAGATGGTTGAGGCAATGGTCACAAAGAGAAAAGGCATTTCCAGGTTAGAATCAGGAACGGCTTTAACACTAACAGTCACGGATAGGATTTGCTGTCGAGAAGAACATTTCCCAAAAGTCATTAATTCTGCACAATGGTTTATTGGTCTGTTTTCCTATTTTTTTCTCTTCATAGAGGCAGCATAGAGTTAAGGAAAGAGGAATGGGCTGAAAAAGTAGGTTCAACATTCAGTCTCAAAGTTACTAGTTGTGTGGCTTGGGGCAGTTACTAAGCTTTTCTGGTTCTCTGGTTCTTCACATATAAAATAAGGTGGATGACCTTATTGGTTGATGTGATAAGTCAATGAGATGATGTATGGGGAGGGCCCATTCCTGGCAGAGAATAAGTCCCCAACCATTTACCGGTTGATTCAAAAGAATGAATGAACAAATGAATGAATGCATCTTCTCACCTACCTTCAAAAAGGATTTATATAGCTTACGATAAAAAATACATCTCTAGTGGGAGAGTTAAAATAAAGATAAAAGAAACATTCGCCACTCCTAAGTATATAACCAAGAGAATAAAAAACATGTGTTCACACAAAAACTTGAATTCACAGCAGCATTATTCATAATAACCACAAAGTAGAAACAACCCAAATGGCCATCAACTGAGGAATGTATAAACAAAATGTAGTATAGGTATACAACAGAAGGTATATTATTCATCCATAAAAAGGGAGGAAACACTGATATATGTAACAATATGGGTCAACCTCAGAGAACATGTGCTAAGTGAAAGAAGTCAGTCACAAAAGACCACATGTTGTATGATTCCATTTATATAAAATGTCCAGAAGAGGCAAATCCCTAGAAATAGAAAGCAGCTTTGTGGTTGCCAGGGTCTCAGGGGAGGGCGAAATGTGCGGAGACGGCTTCATGTGTATGGGGTTTCTTTCTGGAGTGATGCAATGTTCTGAAATTAGATGGTGGTGATGGTTGCACAATTCTGTGAATACACTAAAAGCCACTGAACTGTGTACTTTAAAATGATTAAAATGGTGAATTTTATGCTATGTGAAATTATTTCAATAAAAATTTTTTTTCAAAGGAAGGTTATAAACCACATAGAGGACAGGGTAGGGGTGGGCACAATTATGCCAGGAATCAAAATTGGATGTTAACTGCAATCGATTAATCTGATGGTTATGCGTGTTTGTTCCAAATACATTAGCTAAACTAGAAAAGAATGCTTTAATCAGCTAACACAAATATTTTGCAGATAGGGTTCTCATATACCACTGGTTCTCCAAGTGTAGACCCTGACCAGCAGCAGCAACATCACCTGAAAACTCATTAGAAATACAAATTCTGGGGCAGGGGGTGGGGGGATGGGTTAGCCTGGTGATGGGTATTAAAGAGGGCACGTATTGCATGGAGCACTGGGTGTTCTACGCAAACAATGAATCATGGAACACTACATCAAAAACTAATGATGTACTGTATGGTGACTAACATAACATAAAAAAAAAAAAAAAAGAAATACAAATTCTCAGCAGCATTCCAGACAGACTGAATCAGGAGTTCTGGGGATTAGGTCCAGTAATCTGTGTTTGAACAGCCCTCCAGGTGATTGTGACATATGCTAATGTTGGAAAACTCACACAAGTGGTAGTTACAAGGCTTCTTGACCAACTAGATTTTTGATTTTTACAAATTAAGCTCACAGGAGTTCGAGCAACAGAAACCAATTCATTCCTAGTGTTCATTATATCATTATGAGCGCTATCGGAAATCATAGTCTTGCATCTTACCACATCCAGCCTCAAATAGCTATATCTTTCTCACCAACATGGCCACAGAGGGTTTCAGCACTAACCAGTCTCTGCGTATGCATGCCCACAATACACACTCAGTTTTGTAGGCCTAGTGCCTGGTGCGGGGTAGAACAAAGTAAGCACTCAAGTAATGCTTGCGAAGAGAACACATTCTGAATATACACATGTGTATGACCACGCTGCCTCTTAACCCATTCACATAAAACTCCAAGATGAAGACCTAAGGGTCTTCTGAAATACCACAATGAAAGTAAAGGTGAGGGAGGAATGTTTCCTGTAGATAATAACCCAGAGAGTTTAATAACTCACTAAAACCAACAGATTATTCCAGCTCAGAACTCTGCGTTCAAGGGATAGGTCATGTATGCAACTGCTCAGAAACATGCTACAGCCACCCACGAACACATCTTGCTGCACACAGACTAAGGTACATATATGCACGATCCCCAGACGCTGACACACGAAGTAGTCAGCACACACGCACACAGCCAACACTCAGAGCTTGAAGCAAGCCCACCCTAACTTCTTCTTGGGCCCCAGCACTAAGGCAAGGAAGAAGGACGGCCTGCTGGGGAGTGTGCTAGAAGCAGCCATTACCATTGTTCTCCAAAGCCCCAGGTGTGCCGTTGTTAAAGATTTGATCCACATGATTCAGTATGAACTCAATCACCACCTGCTGGACCCGAACTGCAAGGAAAGCCGCGTCTCCATTGCACCCAGTGGCTTCTATTTCTTTGGATCTAAATCATGAATGAAACACAGTCAGTGAGTGAGTCTGCCCCACAATGGAAAGCAGTCAGGGGGAGCCCGTGGGCCTTTTGTACAAGCCCCATTTCCTAAATGTATACAGTTTGTTAATCTCTAGACTATTTTAACTATTTAAGACCTATCAAAAGGCCTCCCCAAAGGCTGTGAAGCCCAACACACTGAACAAATTTGAAAGCAATGACCAGGTACCATACATTGCTAGACTATAAACACTGTATTTGTGAATATACAGGAATTGATTTTTTGTCTGCATAGGATCTCCTCCCACCCCCACCCAATTGTTCTGTGGGTCAGGTCATCATTTGTGAAGTCCTATGAAGCAGTGACCCCACCAAAACTAACAAAAGCCAATGAGCCCTAAAGACAAGAAAGGCCTTTTCAAGAACTTACAACATACAGACCCGTAACTTTAGCCACATGCTGGTTGTAGCCAAAAAACGCCTTTGGAACCCAGAGTTTCCAGGATAGCAGACAAAGAGCTCGGCCTATTACAATCGTCCTAATTTATATGTGTTACAAATGACCACTTAGCTACAGGTGTGTCTTCAAGGGCCTTCGTTTCGGTTGGTGGGCTGCTTTGAGCCCATGGGGGTGGTGAGAAGGTGAGGGTATGGTTGTTACCTGAGCAGGTTTGGCGCCCACACCAAGGCCAGGTTCCTGGCATGCATGTTGGTCTTGCTGCTGAAGGAGGCAATGTGGGCCAGGTGTCGAATCAGGTATTCCAAGGTCCTGTAATGGTTCATTTTTTTTTTTTTTAATTTTTTTTAACAAAGTAAGAAACTTTAGTGCCTGGGTAAAGCCTGACATCTGGAGATGATTTCTATGTTTGGATTTAAGAGATTCTAAATATTTCTATCTCATGAATTTTGGAGGAATATCAGGAAGGTATCAAGACTGATGGAAATAATCTTCTTGGCCCTAGGCATGCTGGCCCAGGGTGGAGAAGGGGAATGGTTTTGTTAGAAGTCAGTCGAGGCCCTTGGAGAGCCAGAGACAGTTCCCTGGGCCCCCTTTTACCCAGGCCACCATTGCTGCCACACAATCTTGAAACTGGTTCTTATCTCTGCTCTTTCTGGAATTCTCCCAGCTACGGGTAACTTGGTCCTTGTTAGTTGGAGAGCTCATCTCATGGATGAATGACATCTGTTACTGTAGGAAGTTCTTTCTTATACCACATCAAAATCTGCCCCCTAGTAAAAGAGGCTTAGAGAACCCTGGGAAAGGTGGTAAGGTGAAGGGATAAACTGAGAACAAAATGGAAGGATGGGATGATGTGAGGGATGGTACTGGTGAGCAAACAGAGACATCAGTCAGCCAGAAGCTCAAGAGCTACAGCCAAACCCTATTTAAAAACCCTCCCGGGGGCGCCTGGGTGGCTCACTCGTTAAGCGTCTGCCTTCGGGCTCAGCTCATGGTCCCCAGGGTCCTGGGATCGAGCCCCGCATCGGGCTCCCTGCTCCGCGGGAAGCCTGCTTCTCCCTCTCCCACTCCCCCTGCTATGTTCCCTCTCTCGCTGTGTCTTTCTCTGTCAAATAAATAAAATCTTTAAAATATAAATAAATAAAATAAAATAAAAAATAAAAACCCTCCTGGATTCCAGAGATTTGTTTATGCTATGAATCTGGGTAAGAACCTAGAATATCACAGCCAGTGAGGCTGGCTTGTGTGATCAGAATGACCTCCTGCGAGACTCTGAGGGGGGCCCCACAAGTAAATAGGACATGGGCTGCCCCTTCCCGCCAATGTCCCCGGGCAGGCACCGACGCATTCTGAGAAAAGTTGACCTGTTCATCCACCTCAAAATGCCACAGGAAAGTCACTGTCCACTGAACTTGTTCCCTTTTATGACACCAGCCTGCATCTCTGGTATTATACCACCTTGAGAGGTCGCGGACATCTTTTACCAAGGATTCTTACCTGTAATGGGATGGGGGAAGCTCCTGGATAACATTCTGGATGCGGGCCAGTTGGCCTTCTTCCGGGCAATGCGACACTGCCTCCTGTGGGGAAGAACGTGAAGCAGCCCAGTCAGTGCTTGAGAGGGTGGATGCCCATCTGTCTCCTGGCTTTATTTAGGTTTCTGGTACTCCAGCCTCCCAACCAGGCCTAGAGATCATCCTTCCAAGAGGCATGCTTTTCTAGTAAAAACAAACACCTAAAACCTGAGGGTTCGTGATGCGGAGCGTCTAACAGTGAGTGTACACGGGGACATGTGGATTGCTCGGGTCTCTGTGCATCCTCAGAAGGTTGTTAGGTATCTGATACAGGTGTCGAATCTTGGGTGTGTGGTGTGGCAGAGAGAGGGACAGAGGTTCACACTGGGAGAGATAAAGAGACAGAGACAGAGAGAGACGGGGATGACAGGGTGGCTCCATGTTTACTCAGTCAGCTGTCTTCTTGGGTGCAAACAGCTGCTTCCTACCTGGCCTGACACAATTCCATGACCTCACTTTTCAGTGGCTCATCTACTGTTATAGATGCTGATGTGAGGAAGCAGGGAAGACGAGCCTTCTCAGCAGAGTAAGAACCTTGTCCCTGAGACCTGATGGTCTCACCTGGATGTGCTTGCTGTCTGGTTGTTTCCTGTGTGGGTATTTGTTCTCCTGAGACAGGGAAACCAGAGGGATCCCATGAAAAAAAAAAGCTGTTTGTTTGTTTGTTTTTCTCTTTGCTCCTTTTCCTGTTTCTGTTCTTGCTAGGACCTACACCCTTCGCCTTACACAGGCCTTACAGAACAGATAACATATGTCCTCCTTGCAAAGGAAGAGAAGTTAATGATCTCTTTGGAGTCTTCCACCACAATAGATGACATCTAAGGAGTGACCCAGGGTGTCATGACCAGTTTCCAAGACCACTGACTCATCAAGACCCCTTGGCTCCAGGGCATAAGTGACTTATGGAATCTTTGTTCCTGGATTACTGAGAGGACACATGCACCACACCTCAATAAAAACCTCAGGCCCCAAGTAAAGATGGGACTCACTCTTTTCTCCTTTCTCAGTCTTCTGGAAAATGCTCTGTCTGTATCTACTCTCTCCGTGTCTTCAATAAACTCTACTCTCACTTCTTGGCTTGCATTTGATTTCCATCCTGTGACAAGCCAAGGACCCTCTTGGCTGGTCCTATGGGACTCCCCTCTCTGGGTCGGAGGACCCAGCCAGCCTGCTTCACTTCCGTCTGCCCAGGTCCTTCAAGGAGAGCCAAGGGCATTTGTAAAGGCAGTGTGATGAGAGGCTTGCCCAGAACTTCTGCCTGATGTAGATGTCCCTGGGCAGATGCCCAGTGCCCTCTCCTGAGAAGCTGTCCTGCCTGCGCCCAGGCTCAAGGCAGCCCCTTCCAGTGCAGTGGCCGAGTGCTCAAGAACTGTAGTGTGGGAGCCGTACCTAAGTGCAAGGTCAATGGTAATCACATCTTTTTTTTACTGACATGTACTTTACGTACATTAAGCCATAGCCCCCTGAATTCTTTCATATGCATATACCGTTGTAACCCCGCCTAGATCAAGACACACGTTAAAGAGAGTTCCTGAGCTCATGTCAATCCTTAGTAACCCTGAATTCACAGGCATATGTGACTTACAGTCTTGAATTTCCTCCCAGTGCCAGAAACTTGCTTTACATTTGTATATAAGGAAAAGTCAAATCAGGACATGCATTCTTTACTTTGACTCTCAGTAATGAGAATTTTTAGGCACAGAAAAGTAGAAGGAAGTTGATTGGGCGCTTGCTGTTATGCCAGGCCCTGTTCTAGGCCACATTTGCGGTGTCTGGTCTGCTTTAATGTAAGAGAAGATGTCCTAAGTGCTGCCCCAGCCTGGACTTCCCAACTCCCTTACTTGTCTCCATTGTTGCCCACAGCCCTCCCCACCATTACAGATACTACAGCACTTACTTACTAATTAGGCCTACTGCTTACTGTCAGTCTCCCGTGCTAGATGTAAGCTCTGCATGTGTGATGAATCCTAGCGCCTAGAGCAGTGCCTGGCACCCAGTAGGCACTCCCTCCATATTTGTTGGATTTGTTATACACCATCTAAGTGGGACATCATGCCAGGGCTTTGTCCACCCATTTTTTCCCCCTTTTCTTCTCTCCCCTCTCCCCTCCCCTTTTAATTTAATTGAAGTAAAACAAAGACACCAACTATTTTTTTCAAAGGCTGTCAAAATTCTCCACAGGGGAAAACTTGAGATTTTACTTCCTAAGCATTGGTGGGAGAAATGAGGCACCAGGAGGGTCACAGTCACAGGTGTCCCAATCTTCAGGTGGGGGTGCAAGCCTGAGAATAGAACCAGCAGAAGCATGATCTCTGTTGCAACCCTCAATTTTTGAGATATGGAGGAGGTGGAGGGAGGGAACAAGATCGGGACCTGGAGTAGGAACACTGACACCCCTGCTTTCTTCCTGAGAAACTCACCCTGGGGGAGCCAGGGGAGAGAAGCTCTTGAGGAAGGAGGGGCTGTGGAATGCTGTGTGGACCCTCCCACATTCTGTCCTGCAAAGGGGGAAGGGTGGGAAGCCTCTCTTCTCTCAGCAAACTTTGTACAGTGCTCCCCATTTTCTAAAAGTGTGTCTGGGGAAAAAAGGTGCAGGTCAATTTAACAGCCCTCATGGAAAGTTTCTTTGATATTTTAGGAAGCTGTTAGTCATCTTTGTTCGGAGAGGCTGGGCGGGTCCTCCCCCTAATGCCTGCAGGTCCCATTTGGGATTCTTGTTTATTTCATTGTTCACAGCCTCCACCCCCCCCTGCCCCGCCCCCCCCTTCAGAAGCCCTCTAGATCCTGTAGTTTCTCCTCCAGGGGTCCAGTCCTACAAACTTATTTTTAGCTCTCTGTTCCCCCATTAGGTTGGCTGAACCTATCATCAGGGAATTGGGGGAGGGGCGTTGAAGCTTTGCCTACCCCAATATTTTGCCTGAAAGAGAATTTCACTCAACTTTTGCCAAGCTAATCTGGCTAAGAGTTAAATCTTAAAAAACCTAGGATGAATCTGTGACTATGCGTTCTCTACCAATCAGTATCAATAAGACCAGCTTCCTGCCTGCCCTTTGAGGACTTGGTCCAAGACTGGACTCTCCTTCCTTCTGGTGGGCCCTTGCTCTTGTTTTATCTGTTTACCTGAACACTACTGTCACCCTTAGAGCTCAAGTCCTGCTGCCGGGGCAGCCCTGTCACCAGGGGGGACAAACAACCCATGTCTCTCCTTTCCAGTTGCGCCCCAGCTACAACTCAGTAAATTATTTTAAGCAATTAGACTAGAAAGTAATTCATGCCCATCATTTAAAAAATGAAAGCATTCAGAGGAGTACACGGAGGAAAGTTAGCCTTCCTGCCGACCGCAGATCTTCAGAGGTTGTCTCCAGAGGCAACCTCTGTGTGTCCTTCCAGACAGTCCTTACCTTTCCATCTTTGTCACACACGTGAAACAAGCCTGATTGTGACAGAGAACTTGAACTACCTCCATTTGACCTCAAACTTTCAGTTGATTACGTTCTTCTTTCCAGCTTATCTTTTAACGTAGGCAAAAGACCCTACAGGCAAAGCATCCCCTGAGGGGAATGAAACTACCGCTCAAGCCATAAGGGCAAGACCCTGTGTGACTGACCCCAAGACAAAGATCTGTTTGACCTTCACTGCCCACCTGCATGTCCTCACCCACCTTTGCCCCACATTTTCCTTATATAAACCTGGAAAGTATCTTCTGGACTTTGGAGACAGTCTTGGAGACACTAGTCCGCAGTCTCCCCATTGTTGGCCTCACTGAAATAAATTCCTTTCTTGTTTCACCACCACTCACGTCTCTGCCTTTGGATTTCGTCAGTGGCGAGTGATGGAACCTGGCCCCCGCGGCACCCCAGGAGTCAGGGGCTCTTGAAGCCCTGCACCCCGGCTAGAATTATGTGACCTGGCCCATCTGCAATTTCCCGTCATCCTGGTTTGCCTGAGATTAAGGGTTTCCTGGGACACAGGACTTTCAGTGTTAAAACTGGGGGGGTCCTAGGCAAACCAAGGGCAGTTGGCCCCTGCCCCCCCCGCCAACCTTGCAGCTATCTTGAGCTCCCAGCCAGTCTGCTTTTGCCTACTGCCACACACTAGCAGCCCACCCCAAGGGACATTTCAAATGATATGTGTGGGTCCACAATCCTGTCAGCAAAGGCTTACTAGGTAAAAATTTTCCAGCAGCTGGAGAGCAGGAAAAGGAAACACAACAATGAACAAAATGAACACTGTTTCTGCCCTCAGGAAGCTTACAACTGAATGAGGGAGACTGATACACAAAGAAGTTGTTTCAATATAAACTCAGTATAAAATTAAACACCTCTCTAAACTGCCTTCTCTAAAAATCCCAAATCAGCAACTTTTCTTTTGGGTGTAATAATTCCAGCTGAATCAATGGGATCAAAATTGAATTTTTCCTAAAATGAACTTTTTTCTGATAAAAATAAAATGTAATATAGTAGGCTGAACAATTGGTCCCAAAGATATCAGGTCCAAATCTCTGGAACCTGTCAATGTTACTTTATTTGGGAAAGGAGCCTTGGCAGATGTGATTCAATTAAAGATTTTGAGATGAGATGATCCTGGATTAACCCAATGGGCCCTAAATGCAATCAGAGCTATCCTTGTAAGAGGGAGGCAGAGGGACAGCTGACACAGACAGAAGACAAGAAGACCACGCCATCACGGAGGTAGAGATGGGAGTGATGTGGCCACAAGCCTTGAGTGTAGGCAGCCACCGGAAGCTGGAAAAGGTGAGCAGCACTTCCGAGCACCCCCCGCCCCAGGCTCTTGAACTGGGAGAGTACAAATTTCTGTTGTTTAAGCCACTAAGTTTGTGGTGATTTGTTACAGCAGCTACAGGAAACTAATACGTGTACTCAAAATTAAAATATGAAATACGAAGGAATTAACAATCGCTTGCTATCCTACCAGCCAGACATACTACTTATTAACCTCCTCACATTCGAAGCATATAAGAAGCAATCTGCCTGACTTCCTGGCACCAAATATGACCATGCATTGCTTCCTATTCAGGTGCATATACTGCTTTCTTCCATTTAACTTTACATTGTGGCCGATAAATACTCTTCAGAAATGCAACTTTTCATGGCTACCCAGGACCAAAAATAATAGATTTATTATCATTTATTTAACCTATCCCTGTTGTTAGACACATAGATACTCCCCACATTTTGGTATTATACTATTGCAATGAAGCATTTAGAAGTCCGTTACTTGTGTACACATCTGATTATTATCTTAGAATGTAGTCCTAGAAATAGAGGTACTATATTTAAAAAATATGAGCACTTTAGGATTCTCGATAGTAATTTCAAATGACTTTCTGAGGTGTCCAGCCAATTCACACTTTCCAACATAGAAAACCACAGAGGGGCACCTGGTGGCTGTGTTGGGAGACCATGCCACTCTTGATCTAGGGGTTGTGAGTTCAAATCCCATGCTGGGTGTAGAGATTATTTGAAAATAAAATCTTAAAAAGATAACAACAAAACACCATAAAAGAGCCAGTGTCAACACAGGATTGCTGCATGAAATACTAATGTTAAAAAATTATTTAATATGCAAATATATTTTTCTAATACATTTATAATTTTTATTTTTAAATTAAATTTTTTTTTTTTACATTTCAAAACTGTCTATCTACAGTGCCTGGTGGCTCAGTCAGTTAAGCATCTGCCTTTGGCTCAGATCATGATCCCAGAGTCCTGGGATGGAGTTTCGCATCAGGCTCCCTGCTCAGTGGGGAGCTTGCTTCTCCCTCTACCCCTCTCCCCTGCTCCTACTCTCTCTCTCTCTCTCAAATAAATAAAATTAAAAAAAAACCTGTCTACCTATCTGACTTTTTTTTTTAATTGAAGTGTAGTTATACACCATGTTATATCAATTTCAGGTGCATTTATAATTTTTTAAAAACTATATTTCTTCTACGAATTGTTTGTTGAGGTTCTTTGCTCATTTGTTTAGCAGGTGGTTTTTGTTATGTGGGGCTTTTTTCTTTTTATCAATAGGTAGGAGTTCTGTATAATTAAAGAATATTAATCTCCTGTCATCTTTATTGTAAATGTTTTTTATAGTTGACCATTTGCCTTTTAATTTTGTTAATGTGTTTTTTATATAGAAAAAAATTATATGTAGTTTAGTTTGTTACATTTGTCTCTGGTGATCTTTTTCCTTTTGCTTTTGTTGTTAGAAAGCTTTCCCCTGAAACCTGTTAAATGGTAAGAATGTAACTTGACTTTCCTCCTTTCCCAATAGTCAATTTTCCTAATACCCTTTATTGAATTCTTTGTTAGCCTGGGATGCTTTCTTTAATCTCATGTTAAGTTACTAACTACCTGGGCCTACTTAAGAGCTGTTAACTCTGTTTTAAAATAATATGGTAGTTTTGAGACAGAATATTAAATCTTTCCTTCTATTTACTAACTGTACAAGCCCAGGCAAGAGTGTCTCTGAGCCTGATCTGTAATACACTTATCTGTAAGAGACTATAAAACCTACTTTATAGAGTTATTCTGAAGATTAAATGAAATAATATTTTAAAAAGTTTATCATATGGTAAGTACTCAATAAACTCATTATTATTTCATTAATATTTTTCTAATTCTGTTATTCCACTGAGATAGTATTCTACTTTAGCTGTGCAAGTGGGTTTAAATAAATCATTTTAACAATGTGTGACAATGTTAACAGAGCTATTTCCATATTCCTGAAGGTTTGCTTATATTATCATAATTTGTTATTGTGACCAAAGAAATCAATTAAATGATAAATTTTTCAACATAGTTAACTTCACTAGGTCCTACTTATGTAGAAATCCCGTTGCACAGCAGAACATTTATTTTATTTTTTAGCATTAATACCATGTTAGATTTCCTGGAAATCTGATGACAAGTTGAAAATAATGTTGCTTTGGTATTATTCTGTTGCTGTGGGAGAAGAGAACGATTAACAATTTTAGGGAACAAGAGTGGGAAGAGATAAATATGGGTTTTGTTCTGAGCCTATAAGCAAGATTTAAGAAAAAAACATATTTCTGAAGTTTCCAGATAAGAATTCTTACCTACTCCCAACTATCATAAAATGAAATTTAGTTAAAATAAATTAGACTCATTCTGTTCTTTAACACGATGATATTCTATTCTATCATATTCTAAGATGTACTATTATACTGATAAAAGGATTAAAGCTATGTAGAAAAAGACAATAAAGTCTTATGCGCAAATTAAAACAAAAATAAGATATTTTTGGTTGTTCAGATTGGCAAATAATTTAACAAATTAGAAATACCGAGTGTTAGTGAGGCTGCAGGGAAAAGACCATTCTTATCTCTCTGGAGAACAATTTGACAATACATAACAAAATTTTAAGTAAGAGCTTTTTACTCAGTAAATCCAAATCTATGATTTTTTTCCTAAAGATATAAACAGAAAAGGATAAAGATATATATACAAAAATATTTATTATTATAAAATCAAAGTGTTGAGAAACAAAAAGTCAAAATGTTCATCAGTAGGAAACTGGCTTCAGAAATTCATTGCGCATATGAGAAAATACTCTGTAAAAATAGTGTTTCTCTATTTGTTAGCACAGAAAGATGGTCACATTGTTGAGTTAACATTCCAAAGCAGCGATATATATAGTGCTGAGAAGGGAAAGTGGGGAGAGAGAAAGAGAGAGAGGGAAAAGGAGAGAGATCTGTAATGATGTCTCCTGAAATGTTAGCAGCAGATATGCCTGGGGTGTGGGATTTCCAGCGATTTATACTTTCTCCTTTACACTTTCCTGTATTGCTTTCATTTTTGCAATAAAATTCCATTTTGATTTGGGAAAACAAATGCAACAAAAACACTAAGCGAGGAATAAAAGAGTGAAAGAAATACCCACATGTTAACAGTAGCTGTCTTTGGTTTTTAAGAGAGGAGACAAAGGGTTCCTTTCTACTTCCTTCCATTTTCCAAACTGTCTGTTACCAAATATGATTACTTTTAAAATGAGGAAATAATCACAGATTATAATCTGGCCGACTCACGTGAGACCCACAACTTTTCCTCCTGGTTCCCAGGAAAGACTCCTCTATGGTTACAATGGCTAGAGGCTGCCATTATTTTTTACTTAGCCGCTCAGAGCGGAGGCTCATTTGCCTTCAGCCTTAGGGTCCACAAACCCCTGACACTTCACATCAGCTTGTATATGTTGGCTTCTCCAGTAGTCAACCTCTAGGCCCAAGTTCTTTGTGTTTTGGCCTAATTTTTTTTTCATTAAAAAATTAACATACTTTTAGTAGATGAGATTTTGAAAGTTAAAGTCTGAAGAAGCAGGGAAAACTATAATCTCATCATTGAAATAAATGGCTATTAATCTTTTGAACATCTTTCTCTTTAATCATATTTTAATGTACAATTATGCATCTGTTCTTTTCTGGTTATCATTATGAGTGTTTCCCTCTATTACTGAAAACTCTTAAATATATTTTAATGGTCCAAACCCAACTTTTAAAATGCATCCACTTATTCCTATATCATTTGGAAGTGAACAAACTTTTATATGCTCAAAATAAGTTTATTACAGGAGCCATGAGAATGATTGCTTCCCATGTTAGAGCCTAGACCCGGTCCTTATCAATAATTGCAACTCCTCCATAATCTTAATTGCAAACACCCCCCTGACCATCCGACTCTGTCTATTGACCTCATTGGATGAATAATCCATCGATAATACTTTTTCACTGTCACTCAGTGCCTATGGCCTCACTTTCCCTGTTATCCAGACAAAATTCCATGGTCAACTATTTCAATCACTCTCTTGCATACACCCTCATCTTCCTCACCCCCCTTCATTAGCTGAACCTCAATCTTGGTTAAACCCATCTCTCCACCTACTCTGCACCTCCACCCCAGCAGCCTGGTTTTCAATGCTATCTCTACAGACATCCTGTAAGCATTTATTCTTTCTACTTTTCCTACAGGTGCCCCTATCTGGTGACCACACAGCTGCTAGTAAGGCATTCTGCCCATCCACCCTCCACCAACCCAACTCATGGGCCCAGCCTGCTCTTCCTCTTGGCTGCATTTCCCAGATTCTTTTCTCTTTCCACCTTTCTGATCTCTCCCTTGACTTGGGTTTGTTCTCTGTCCCTTCTCCCTGCCCACCTCATTCCCCAACCCCCAAAAGAACTACAAAAGGAGAAGCCTGATGAAAATGAACTAGCCGTAGGTGTACATCTGGAGTCTTAGGTTCCTGTCCTGCTGTGTGACCTTGGGCCAGTCATTTCACATCTCTGGTGCTTAGCTTCCCCCTATACAATGAGGCACATTTGGTTAAGTAAACACGGAGATAATTCTAATCCGGCTCTTGAAACAAATAAACATGATTCTGAAAATCTAAGAAAGGAAAAATTTAGCCAATGGACCCATTACCTTACTTTCCTCACTATAGTATCCTACTTCCATTACCTGGCTAAGATAATGTCAACCATCTGGTGAGTTTTATTATTGTTATTTTAGTGTTGAAACTCTCCTTGGCCCGTCTAGGAGTGCCACCCAATAACCGTAATGGAAATCCAAACACTCACCGTGAATTTCTCATAGAGCTCATAAGTCAGGAGGGGGTTGGGCAGCTCCCTAAAGTAGAGCTTGCAAAGTGAGCCCACACAGTGGATGTCCTGGAGGTACACTTCCCTTGTCAGATCTGGACATTGATCTGAGCCAAACTCTTGCCTGAAACAACACAGACAGAGACATAACAATCCTGAGAGCATATGTTCCATGTCAGCAGCTGCTTGGCTGCTTAGGGGTAAAAAGACCCTAAACTGCCGATCTGACTCTGTTTTTGACCTCGATCAAGATGCCCTTCTCTTCCCGGCACAAGGAAGCTCTGGGAAGTCTTCTACTTCAGGTCTGGATCTTCTCTGTGAAAGCTGCAGTCACTGGAAAAACATAATGCCCATTTACAAGTGGATTTCTCAGGGCATTATGTCCCAGTCTCAGTTATGAACAGTGGGGAAATATGAATTTTTGTTGCCAAAAAAAGCCTGTTGAGATTTCAGTTCTTCCAAAAGATTGTTCTAAATGAACTTCGCTTTCTTGGAGGAGAGACCAAAACCAGGGTGAGTCAGATTATCATTCACTCCATATACTCATGTCAACAAACTTGTTTATCTGGAGACTCGAGCCCTTCCAAGCTGCCTGACGGTGACTCCCACAGGATAGATGAGGTTATAAATATCTTCTTATGAACAATGTATCGTGAGGTGTTTGGGAACAACATCAGATTCCAGGCCTTGTTTCTAATTGAGAAACATTTCTTGACCAAGGTGATGTGAATACACTGCTTCAAATAATATATACTTACAAGTTAAAAACCTGTTTAAAAAAGTGACAAGCTGGAGCTTTCATATAGAGCAGAAGTTAAAGTTTCTTGAGAGAATTCATCTGGTCAGCCGCATAGTGGCAAATTCAACGGGACTCACAGAGCCTGCATTTCAAAAACGGCCCCCTGCCTGGTTTCCTGTCACCTGGTTCTGGCCCTTTAACAAAGGGTGGGGAAATCCCTGATGCTGTCTGAACCTGAAAGGAGCTGGGTGGGGCCCTGAAAAGAAAACCTTGCAGCGCCTTATAAATTCACGGGTATGTTTTTTGTTTCTTCGGTTTTTTGTTGTTTTTGTTTTTGTTTTTAAGAGAGCAGAAGAGCAGAACAAGAACAAATTTGGAGCTTATCCATTTATTTAGCCAAAATTTCCCAGCGGAGGCGTTGGTCTGTCCTTTAATGAAAAAGAATTTGGCTATCGCCCAAGTGTTCTCCCACCATACCAACTACTGTGTCGTCTATTTCAGAGCTAAGGGTAAAACATTAGAAAGTATTTGCTGTTGAAACTCTAAAAAACGTCACGCTAGTAAATTAGTGAAATTATGTAAGTACACAGATCTGTTAAAATTGATGGTTTCAACAAAGCAATTAGTTTTTAACAGTCGCCACTTCTCCATGAGTAAAAAGGATGTCTTCCTTTCGTGGAATGTCATTACAATTGCGTTGGGGGGGAGAGGAGGGGCCGAAAACCCAATTAGAGGAAGAAGACAGAAGATGAATTAACTGTACAATCTATTCAATATAATGGTAACATGAATGTTTTTATTGTTTTAAAAGTCTACACTTATAATTAAACATAGAAATATATAAAAATAACACCTGATAAAACACTCTGTAAATATACTATATATCTACTCCCTTTATTTTATATATATAATACATATAAAACACACACATACATATCTGTGTTTTGTGTGAAGGTTATTGTACTCTTTTTTTTATCTTTTAAAGATTTTATTTATTTATTTGACAGAGTAAGACACAGCGAGAGAGGGAACACAAGCAGGGGGAGCGGGAGAGGGAGAAGCAGGCTTCCCGCGGAGCAGGGAGCCCGATGCGGGGCTCGATCCCAGGACACTGGGATCATGACCTGAGCTGCAAGGCACATGCTTAACGACTGAGCCACCCAGGCGCCCCAAGGTTATTGTACTCTTAATTCAATGTGATAGAAATTTCTTCCCCCAAATTCTAGGATATATTTTAGAATTGTTTAGGATAAATCTATAGAATTGGAAATAGTTTTTCAAAATATCAACCTCATTGAAAGAAATGCACAATCATGCAGATTTTTTATTTCCTGACCGAGTGAACTGTCAAATGTTGAGTGTGTGTCAACAGAAAAACTCACATCATCTCCAAGTTCTGAACGGGGACCTAACTGAGCTCTGGGTAGGCAAGTGAATAATAAATCACATTGTTCTAACTTGTGATCTAAATCATTTGAGTTCAACTGAATCCACCTAAGGAGGATAAACCTGGTGCAAGACAAAGAAACAGATTAAAAACCCTCAGGAGCTTTTGTTGGAAAGAATTACATCAGACTAGAGGATTTCCTGATTAGATTAAGAACACTTGGCATCTGAAAACATCACACTGATCTGCTCTGCCACCCTTCCCTCAACCCCTTCAGGTTTTTAATTCTCCCAGTGCTGGCGGAGTTATGGACAGAGAGGAAGGATCGCGGGAGAATTCTTTTGGGGGCTATTCTTTCAGCTTACCTTAGCTTTTGTATATTTGAGGTGACTCCTGAAAGCCGATAAATTCCATCCACAATGCCATGAGTCTCTATAAATTCTGCACAGCTCTTCAATACATATGGAACTATGTAAAGAAAAACAATAAAGTATTAGATATAAGTCTAACTGTCCTTTAAAGATATCCTTTTAAAAATACAGGTAACTTCAAAGAGAAGCAAGTATGGAATGCATATGAGTTACAAGTGGAAACAATTACTTTTAAATGGTAGATGATATTCTTTTGTATTTAAAAAAAATCATGAGGTTTTGTTAGAGTTTAGAAAAGTCATGTGTTTTAAAAGTTGGTTGGGTTTTTTCAAAGAATTTGAAAAATATGCAAACACTTAGATTTTGAAACCAGCAGTGACCTTGGAAATCCCACAACTCAATCTCCACATTTCACTGGTTCTCCAAGTGTGGTCTCCTGACTGGCAGCATCAGCATCTCCTGGGAACTTCTTGGGCATGCAAATTCCCAGGCCCTACTCCAGACCCACTGAATCAGAAATTCTGGAGGTGGGGCCCAGCAATCTGTGTTTTAAAAGCTTTCCAGGTGACTGTTGCATGATACAACTATCTATATTTTACACATGAAGAAACCAAGGGTACAGATAAGTTTACTTACCTCACTCAAGATTACCTGTTGCTTATAAAAAGTAATTAATACATGGGAAAATGCTTATGATAGAAGTCGGTAAAAGAAAAACAAGGCACAAATTCAAATATACATTGTGAACTTAGCTATGTTAAAAAAGGTGCAAAGGAAAAGAGACTGAAGATGTCTACTAGAATGTCAAAGGTGATTATAAGGTTAAAGTGTTTTTTTTTTTAAGGGTGAGAACCAGGGGTGCCTGGGTGGCTCCGTCAGTTAAGCGCCTGCCTTCGGCTCAGGTCATGATCCCAGGGTCCTGGGATCGAGCCCCACATCTGGCTTCCTGTTCAGCGGAGAGCCTGCTTTTCCCTCTCCCTCTGCCTGCTGCTCTGCCTACTTATGCTCTCTCTCTATCTCTCTGTCAAATAAATAAAATCTTAAAAAAAAAAATAAAGGTGAGACCCACCCTCCACCAACACCACTGAATGGGTCAAACCAGCCATTGATTGAATGGGCCACCTAAAAGGGACCAACATGGCCCTTTGAATTCCAGCCACTCCAGAAGTTCAATGTCCAGGTAGAAAAGTCTGGATATGCCGACCTCTCCTCAAGGCTGACCCTGATTGGCCCAGCCAATTCAGTGCCATAGAATGGCAGCTGCAGGCCTTTTGGATGGCAAAGAGAGAGCAGCGAGTTACTTGCCACTTTGGTCCCTGGACAGATCCACCTGAGGTCCCTCCATGAGAGTGCTGTGGATGGTGGTTTTTTTATGGAGCTACCAAAGCCTTGGGCACCGAAGCCTTCAGCTGTGGAGGTGGTGGGGTGTAGGAACTCCATGAGCTAGTGCTTGGGTTGGCACTGTGCTCCCTCTCCCTAAAATACAGCAAATCCATGAATGCCTTAGGCTTAGAGTTAATGCCAATCCATTAATGCTTAATGTACATGATGGTGCCTGCACACAATTCCAAGTTGGGCTGGGCTTTTATGTAAGTAGACACCAGGTATTTAGACACAACACTCTCCCTGGAGTCCCTATTACAACATTTTCTAAACAATTCTCTGACCATTTCTTTTAACTACTAACTATAACTTTGGATGCTCAGTAAAGCTTGTCTCCTTCAAGTATTCCACCCATCTTTCAAAGGCTGTGCAGCCCCAGGACCATTCCCCTCCAGGACACATCCAGGTTTGGCCTTGGTCTCTCATGACCGGAGCTGCGGAAGAACTTCTCCGTTATCCCAGGTGGGTAGCAGGCAAGGAATGGACTTGTGTTTGGAAATATTGAGAGCAGAGACCTGCATGGTAGTACCACTCACTATGAGTGAGTACAGAGTGGGACCAGAGTGCGGTGGAGGAGGGTTGTGAGGGTGGGAAGGGGTCCAGGGCCTCTGCCTGGCTTCCACCAGAAAAGCTCTACTTTGATCGTTGTATGAGATAGTGTTCCTCATGAGATTTTTGTCTCTCACCCCATGCCTCTAAATAATAAATAGTAAATAAATAAATAAATAAATAAATAAATAGGCAAAGAGAGTTCCAATGCTTAAAAAAATTGTTTTGGGTTTTTTCGGTTTTTTTGGTTGTTTGTTTGTTTGTTTGTTTTAACCCCTATCATGCACAATCATGGTCAACTCTTTTCCTACCATGCCAAGCTGTTGTTTTCATAACCTGCCACGTTTGGTCTATGGTTGAGAATACACATTTGGATATCAAACTGCCTCTGTAAACTTGAGCAAAATACATACGTCATAATTCTGTCTCTCAGAGTCTACATCTGCAAAATGAGGATAATGGATCCTGACATATAATAAGCATTCCACAATGACAGTTATTATTCCTATTTGAAGCCTGTCTGTGATTTAAATTCATAATTTGTGAGAAGTAATCTTGGTGAAAATATTTTGCCTCCTCTCATCCAGTGGGTGATTAGGGTAGAGTAGATCAACCTCTTACCAGCTGACACTCATCTCTACTATTTGGAATGGCTTTTGTGTCCTTCTTTGGTTAAATATTTCTACTTGAAGATAATTTTGCTTGTCTGAAGTCTCTTTTCTATGCATTTAGGTGTGTCTTCATAACACAAAGGCAGCAGGATCCCAGAGTACAGACTCTGAGTTAGAGTCCCACGGCTATGGTTGGCCTTGGTGTGTTCTGCAGTGTGTCTCTGTGCCGGGGTGCATGGTTGTTGGGCCGTGCAGGGCACAAGTGGGCTTAAGAGCTCTGAGCATTCCCAAGAAGGACTCAAGACAAAAGCCCTGACTTGAAGGGGCTTTATAAAACACTCTACAGAAGGGGTGGTGCAGGGTCACCGACCGTCCTACCCCATTCTCAGGTAGGGCCCCCCCAGGACCATAGCTCTTAGCTGTAGCACCTCGGGTCTGTTTGTTTTAAAGGTGGAGAAAACACATTCCCGGATGGAGCCTCTGCCATAAATTTACTCTGGCTTTCATACAGAGGCCCTAGAACCTTCCGTCCACAGCTCTGTTTAAACAAGAGGCAATATTAAAACAACTCAGGGGAGGAGGCCATGGTCCCGGTCTCTGAGGAGTGTTAGCTTTCCTGGATTCTTTTCTCAGGCTGAGTGGGAAGATAGAGGGATTCTCCATCAACTCAGCAAATGGGAAAGGATCCACTTCATCTCTGTAATCATCTAGCTCAAGAGCCAGAGCAGTGGTTCTCAGACTGGGGCCCCCTGGCCAGGTGCACAAGCAGCAGCTGCAACCAGAAGATTCTGATACGTGCTAAGGTTGAAGAACCACTAGTCTAGACATGAGCTTCGCATACTTTTTAATGTGACACAAATCCCTGGGATCTTGTTAACATGTGGTTCCAATGGGGGAAGAGTGTCAAGAATTTGCATTTTTAAGAAATTCCCAGATGATGGGGACACTGCCCACCTTGCCGCCCACACTTAAGGGTAGCCAGGGTCTAACAGTAATACTGGTGTGTGGTGCTGCAGGGGCAACCCAGAATTTAGTCTCAGTCTCAGATTTCTTTAGATTGTTGTCCCTGGGGTCCAACCAAACTGGGGACACCCTAGGATTCTGGACGGGGTAGAAGTTTGACACCAAATAGCTGAATGGTGATAGATGGAAAGAAAGCTTTCACTGTCACTTTGGGCATGGGAAGGAGTGATGCTAGAGGTCAGAGTCACAGAGCTAGTTCTGGAGGATTTATCATGGACCCAAAGAACTTGAAGTCCCCTCCTACAGAGGTCCACACAGTTGCTGATTGTGATATAATGTTATAACTTCTTTGAACTGTTTCACTGAAGGTTCTCGAAGACCCTTGTTTGTTTTGTTTTTCCTGGATCAGCAATCTTAGATGTTAAATTTTAATCTGAGCACAAAATAAATCTTGAAGTAGTTTCTGATGGAAAAGAAAACTCTGCCTTTGATTTATGCCTTACAGTTGACACAACATTTTAAAGTCCTTTGTCTCATTTGATGCAACCTGGTACAATAAAAGACATTTTATACTTATAGATAATGTGGGGCACTTCTTTCCTCAATTCCTAACCTCTTCAAGGGTTTAGTACAGAAAAGACCAGCAGTTAAATCATTTCTCTGAGTCCCCCCAGAAGTAATGTCTGCTAAGCTGCCCCGCTTCCCCTTGTGGCCCAGGACCTGATCAGATCCGGAGACAGAGATTGGAACAAGCACAGTTTTGCTTGGTTACTGATGTGCTCATGGCAGCCATATGATGTCATAGTGCAAAGTGCTTTTGGGTTTTAGGAAAACATGGTCCTCTTTCCTCCCTGTTCTGGATTTTTGTTAAGATCTTCTACTAATCAGATTTCATCCCCTCTCTGGGTCCTGCATTCCTAATCTTTAAAAGTGAAGTCTAATGGTGTATACACACAGTGGAATCCTGCTCAGCCATACAAAAAGAATGATATAGCATATGCGTGACAGAAGCCAGACTATAAAGGAGTACATACTGTACACTTCCATTTACATTAGCAAATGCACACTAATTTACCGTCGGAGAAAGCAGGGGAGAGGCAGGAGGTAGGAATTGGGAAGGGGTCAGGGAAACTTTCAGGAATGAAGGATATTTTCATCATCTTGACTGAGGTGCTAGAAAGGACCAAGGGCCACGGGTGGGTGAAGAATTGACACTTGCAGGAGGAAGGTAAAAGGGTAAGGGAGACAAGCCCCTGCACAGGGAAGAAATTCTCTGAGACTCTGCTGCTGTGCATTGGGCAGAGAGTGAGGTCTTTAAGCAGCATTGCTGTGATGTGAATGAGGTGGTCCTATGGCATTTTTTTCATGAGATGGAGTAAAGAATTCAATTACTTTTCCATTATTCTTGGCTAACAGCAGAGACTTTCCTAGCTCCCCTCCACCCCTGGGGACTCTAAGAGCTGTCCCAGTGGCTCCTGGAAATTTCTCTCTTTGCTAACTCCTGCTCTTTCTTTGTGTCCCACCCTTTCTGTCCTGCAACTCAGGCTTTTTGTCCCATGCTCCCCTCTAGCCTCTGGGAGTCTCAGCTTGG